AATAGACTCAGAGGATACAAGCGTTATTTGCCTCTGCATTTTCACAGAATTTATATGAAAGTTTCCCAATCACGTACGTAGCTTTTTCTTCAAACTTTGACTGTGTTTGGAAGAAAATAGGTAATTGTTACACAAAAAGGAAAAGCTTATAAGGACCCTGTTAGAATTTGTAGCATCATTTGTTGAAAGTGAACCTGTATGAATTTATTTTTAATGAATAACTTTTTTATGGTAAATGACAATGTACATAAATTGTTGTTAAATAAACATGAGCATTGATGATAACCTTTGCAGCCAAAGATATACTCAGATCTGAACCTGCGACAGCACATTCTAAAACTGTTCTTTACCAATAGAATTTTTTTAATTTAGTTTTCTTTGTACACATTTAGAAAATCATTATTGATTGAGAAATGAGTGCTTGAAACAATTGATTAACTTAATCTTTCATTTTAAGATGTAATTTAAAAACATATATTTTTACTGTTTATGTTCATCCCTGTATCAATACCTTTGGCGTGTCTATGCATATTACTTTGAAGTCAATCCTATTGTAAGATATTTTTGGAAAAACGTAAGCATTTAAACAAAAAAGTGAAAAATCTGCTCTGGTTCTGGTTCAAATTTTTCAATACAATTCACACAATAAAGCCTATTCAAAGCAGCTTTTTTTCTCTGTGATTGATTGTTTTTAAGCACACTGAACTTTTCCCATTCCCATGTTCGAAACACCCTTGCAGCTCCTGAGGCCTGAGAGGTATTTCTTCACGACTTTGGTTGTTTGTTGACACACACCATGCTGTTTTGCTTGAACAATGCTTTCCGGAGGATTTTGATGGGATCTTTTTTATCTCTTCAACAATACAAGACTTTGTTTGTATGGCTGTACATTGGCTGTGATTCCTATTACATCCGGGTTGCATCTCACAACTGTGGGGGGAGCCAAAGAGCAAGGAATTTGACCAATCTCTAGTTATTACTTCTAACATTTTTCTCACACAGATGGACACACCAGAGGTAACATGGTAAACCTCTTAGTGTCAGGTGATTGCCTTTCATCCTCAGCAAGCAGAGGCCCCATTTCAAGGCCAGCACTGAGGGTAAAACAGTATATGTTTTATAATTTCCATATAAAGTGATGAGTTCCTCGCTGTCTGGAACTGTTCCAGCTTCTATATCAAGCCTGTTTCCATGGGCTTCCGCTTGCCCTTAATGACAAGTGATAGCATATATCAGTCCTCCCACAGAATGCTTTAATCCACCATGAAGCAGATGAGTCGCTGGACTGAGCCTGCGGTGCAGCAGTGACGGCAGGAGTGCTTCTAAAATTTGTACGTGTGCTCCTCAAACCTGACCACAGTCATGGACACCCAACAAACCTCTCAGTGCAGCAGAACACAAACCTCTTCCTCTTTGGAACTAGATCCAAAGGTCTCAGTATCCTCTATTTATATGCAGTGTATATTTACAACGAGCTGGATGATCTGGATGCTTACGAGTTTCGGAAAGAGAATGTTGGGGAAATTTCATCGGCTATTCTGAGAAGACTAGGAGTTTATAGGGGTGAACCTCTACTCTGAGGTCAAAGCTTGTTTCCTAAAGGATCATTCTGAACTTCGGTGCAGCTTTTGAAAGATTTCAAGAAGTCACATATGGAATATAACAGCAGTACCAATTACAATTAACTCCAGTCCGTAAAGTCATTAGAAATTGAGATCCCAAGATATCAAGAGGCACATTCTCTTGATACCTTTTTTTTTCATGCCATTCATGTTTACATTTTCTAATTGTGCTACATGTTAAAGCAACTAACTTATTTAATGCTTTGTTGTAACTATAGTTTTTTTCCTTTATATCAAAATATTGTTCTGACACAATTCATTCAGGTGTACCCAGTAACCATAAGGAAGCAGCACCACTACATCTCTCTGTAAAAACATAAAAAAATGTAAACCTTTTCGTTTTATCTAAAAAAAAGTTGATTTTCAGTTTGAGAAGTTCTGAAATGTTTACCTATTGATTAATTTCTGCGAATATAAAATAACACTATTCATGACATTATAATCACTTCTTTTGGAGCCAAATTATATAAATGCTTACATTTTCTGACATTTTTTTGAGAGGCTCACATTAACAAAGATTTCTATAATGTTTGGGCGCAGAATTTGTCAAATAGCATTACATTTTTAAAAAGTGTAATGCTCCAAGAAAGACACGTTGGCATGTTTTGTGCTGCCGTGTTGAAATGGTTCCCCATAACCTTGTTCATAAAAAGCGTGTAAAACTTTCAACATTATCTGCCATCTAATGGATGTGATATATATGATCATCTGACCTGTGCTGTGTGGGAAGTAAATTAAGCAAATCCTGTCTTATGTCTGCATGGCTGTTAAGGATAAAGGGATGGGATCCAGTCGGGCTTTGTGTTCCATCTATCATGAGGTCATTAGTGCCTGCTGTCATCATGAGCTTCCCCCTGGATGAGGAGTTGATCCTGGGCAGCAGACCCTGGCCTCGACCCAGCTTCTCTCTCTGTTTACCTTGGACACTCATTAAAGGCATGCCACTTCTGTAAAGTCTAAATTGGAAAAAGGAAAGTTAATGGCTTAAAGAATGTTATGCTACGGCCTGACAACAGACACATTTAGTAGCTACTCTCCACTAATCTGCATGTTGGTGTTATCATTTGTCATGCTCCCTGCAAAGAAATTGATACTGGGAGGTTTTTGAATTTAGACTCTTCATTGTGTTTGTTTCTATGGTCACACCATTTGGTGTGTGTCCCACTTTTATTTTAGGATAGACAAGTGAGGAGGGCAAGATTTATTTGGAGGATGCAATGAAATGTGTGATAAAGAATGCCTGGATGCACATGGCATCTTTGCTATTCGGCCCACAGATAGAGAAAGGTTACTGAGAGGTTGAGTGTTGTTTTAAAAGCATTTCCATTACACAAAAGATGACTTCATATTTCTACGCGTAATCAAATTGTTGAAGTCATCGTGTGCAACACATTTCAGAACAAGTTTAATGAGTGAATAACTTTATAAATTCACATCTGTGTAGATTTAATGAGTGGGATAGAAATTAAAATACAATTAATTATCTATTCAAGAATTCATATTCACCAGCGTCATAAATGTTTAAACTGAAATCAGGCATCGCCACGAGAGGACTTGTTTGAAAATGCTTGAGCAGTGTTCCCAGATCACTTCAATGAATGTCAAGCTCAATTTGAGATGATCCATAAAAGGTTACTTGGTATTTTTATCTTAACATGACCTTGCGCAAGGTACTGTGAACACATTCTCACTTTCTCGGCAGCCTCATTTCGCCATGCAGGGCTTTGATGGGGTCACTGCAGAAAAAGCCCAGCAAACCATCTGCTTTATGAATCTTACCTAAATTCCTGCTTACAAAGAGCATGTTAGAGTTAAATTTCATATATTGGTTAAACACCTTCATTGGCAGGCATCAAATATGTAGATTATTTATAAATAGAGGAGGGAATTCCCTGTAATTTGAATGTGATACTAACCTGATTTAAATGTGATAGTAAATTCACAACGGGGATTTGATTTAAACAGAAGCAAAAGACATCGAGGATGATTTTTATTTCACTTGGTCTTAAAACACACTTAATTGTGTAAGATTCAGTGTACATTGACAAAGAAACATTACTAATCTGCAATTAAGACACGTCAGCTCATTTTAATGAAGAATAACAGCAGACATGGAATAGATATACACAGCTTTAGGAGATATTACTTTGTAAAAAAGGCTAGTTTTGAGCTGTGTTGTATTTTCTCTCCCTGTGACAGCAAACAGGGTTCATACACACCTGTCTTGCCAGATGATACCAAGTTATTGTTTCTCAGGGTGAAACAAATGACCGCTCCGGTGCCGACATGTCATGACCTCGGAGGCTCTCTGTCTTGTGAACAGAATGCAAATGTATTCCCATCCTCAGGTGGTGCTTGTTTATCCTTAAGTTGAGAGTTTTTTGTTCTCTCGTAACTTAACCCTGCTGAAGAGCTCACATTCATGCTGTTTAATTGCTTTAGACAGTCCAGTTACCAAATAATTCACATTTTGGACTTTTACAGACTACATTTTTACCGTAGTATGTTTTCGCCCTATAGAAAAATAGAATATTTGATTTGTTACTAATAACTAAAAATGTGTTATAATTGAATGATTCATTAGAATGCAGAGAAGTTTAAAGGAAATAGAGATAGAAATTTTAAAACACTTTTGACTAAATCTGTCATACTAGTTAATGTGGTACTTAAATGAAAGAGTTTCTCTTCTTAACTGCATAATTTGTGAAGTGGAAAGGCTCACCTTTAACCCATTAGAGGGCACTGGTGTCATGTACTTTAGCAATAAGTTTCCATGCAAATACATTTTACTTTGGTAATTTAGAAAGACACCAAAGTAAAACCTGACAAAAAATTAACTTTATGCACTGAGTTTACATATTTGTTCTATTAATAGATTAATGGGAATATAAACAGCTAAATTGTTTAATTTTTACCTTTATTCTTGTTATCTTTTTTTTATTTTTAAAACTATTCCTAAAGTTTTCTGTAGCACTACTTAACTTTCAATTTTATTTTGGTTCCATTACATTAATTTAAATCCCCTTAACAGTCTGCATTCAGTGAGAGAAGAGAGGGTAAGTGTTGGTTGGAGTAGCACTTTCTCAGTCTTGTCCAATGGTTTTTCTTAAATTAGCAATGGGGGTTGGAGGCTCCCTCCCTGTGCTGACAGAAGGAGGAGCCTGTGCCTGTCACTGTCTACTGTTTCATTATTACCTGCACAGCCCTGCAGCATTCACCACTCTTGTGTCTCTGTGTGGCCACACTGAAACACAGAGACACAGACAGATTCCAAGACACAGACCATCAGAGAGATTCTTTTTCATGATTTTTCTCTCAGCAGAAGAATCTGCTTGCTGCTGACCTTTGATAGGATTTGCAAGGCAACTAGCAGTGGACATGGCTGGTTGTCTGCAAAGCTCCAAACTTTGTAAAAAGCAGTCATCTTTTAGATGTCTGCTTCTTATTTTTTCGTTCGCTTCCTGTTTTTCCACGGCGCTCTCTCAATCGTTTGATCAAGCTCACCTGTATTACCACAGATCTCGACCTAATGAAGACAATATCATCATTGCTAACAATGAGATCAGGGTGCCTTTTGGGAGGTCTGTGTTTTTGGACCCGATCAATGACCTGGTAACTGAAGTGCAGCCTGGGGACCGTTGCCACATCACAGTTTTGGACAATGACCCACTGGCCCAGAAGCCGGGAATTTTGAGCCCAAAAAAGTTCCCTTGTACCTTTGGAGCAGATGAAGTGAAATACACTCATTTTGGATCTCGGAGCCCCAGTCAGGATCGTGTGAAGCTACAGCTTCGTTATGACTCCCAGACAGACACAGTTATCATCCCTTTCATGCTGGAAGTGGAGGTGGTATTCCAGCAGCTTGAGATTGTGACAAGGAATATGCCTCTCAATGTTGAAAAGCTGAACGGGGACAGCAACCCCATTGACAAAAAGGCTCTGGAGTTTTCCTATGAGGAGGGTGTCACACAGTGCAAAATATCCACTCTTGTCGGCGCTGGAGGTGTTCCCAGGTATGGCACTCTTATGAATGGCCCCACCAGTGGCCAGATGGTTGATTGTGATGAGTTTGTAAAACTGGGCGTTCGCTACAAACACACCGCTAAAACCGATTCACCAAACAGAGACTTTATTCCCATGATGGTAGAGCTGCAGGATAATGATGGCAACACAATAATGCAGGAGCATTTCCAAATGATGGTTAGAATTAGAGAGGGTGCAGAGAACACTGCCCCTAAACCCAGCTTTATATCCATGATGATGATGGAGATTGATCAGTTTGTGATGACAGCTATTACAAGTGACATGCTGGCTGCTGAAGATGTTGAATCTGACCTAGATGATCTCATTTTCAATATTACCTCGCCACTGAGCTCTCAACAGGGTTATATCATCAGTACAGATGATCAAAACCTCCCTATCACATCTTTCTATCAGAGGGACATAAAAGATCTAAAGATAGCTTACAAGCCGCCAGCAGAGGACTCAGAACATGAGAGAATATTCCAGCTTGAGTTTGAGATTGTAGATACTGATGGTGCAGTGTCTGATCCATTTGCATTTATGATTGTGGTTAAACCGATGAACACCTTGGCCCCAGTTGCAACTAAAAATACTGGACAGTTATTATTTGAAGGGCAGTCCAGAGCTCTCTCAAGCTTGCAGAACTTAGAGATTAGTGATGAAGATAACCTGGAAGATGTGAGAATTACAGTTGTTGATGGGTTAAAGCACGGAGACCTCACTGTGCTTGGGGCACGCAGGAAATTCTTCACCCCCGCCGATCTAGACACTGGCATTGTTGTGTACCAGCATGACGGTAGCGACACCTACAGTGACAACATTATTTTTAGAATGACTGATGGAAGTAATGAAGTGGAATTTTTGTTCCCTATCACTATTGCTCCCACTGATGATGAGCCCCCTATTATTAATGCTAACACTGGCCTGGTGCTGTTCAAAAATGAAGTCATGCAGATCTCACCCTTCATTCTGAGTGCTACAGATATCGACTCGGAAGACTCCTCAATTAAATTTATCTTGGAAGCACCATACTCCAAACTGGGAGAGCTCCTGCTTAGGCAAGTTGAGCCACCTACTGACCCCACTCAATGGAAGTTCAGTGAGACAGATGAAATGTTTGAGCAGGTGGTGACTGAGTGGTTTCAGCAGGATATTCTTGATGGAAAACTGTTTTATCGCCACACTGGACCGCATAGCACCACCACTGTGATTGATCAGTTTGTGTTCCGCGTGCAGGATGACAATGACCCTCCTAATCAATCAGGTGAGCATATGTTCACTGTTAAAATCCACCCTGTTGATGACGTTGCCCCAGAGCTTTTCCCAGGAACCACCCTTAACATGACAGTTCAGGAATATGAGCTAACATTCTTCAGAAAAAAATTCTTGTGTTATACTGATCTGGATTCAGATGACAGAGACCTGAAATACTCTATCACCAAAACACCAACCGACACAGATGAGAACAATCCAGCACCTTTAGGTGAAATTGTACTTACTGAAAGCCCTGACACCGTAGTTACAGAGTTCACACAAGCTCAGGTTAATCACCATAAAGTAGCTTACAAGCCTCCAGACCAGGAGCTGGGAATCACTCCAAAAGTGGCTCAGTTCACATTCACTGTGGAGGACACAGCTGGAAATACAGCAGATGGGCAATTTACCATTTTCCTGCAGCCAGTTGACAACAAACCACCAATTATCATCAACACTGGCTTCACTGTTATGGAAAGAAGTGCTTATATTATTACCAGAAAGGAGCTGGACGCCTCTGACACAGACACAGATGATGAAAATATTATATTCACCTTGACTCAGATTCCTCACTATGGGCAGCTACAGTATTTAGGGATTGTCATGTCAAATGGGGAAACATTTGTGCTCGAAGACATTACCAGAGGCCACCTCGCTTACATCCACGGAGGACAGGAATCCCTCAGTGATATGATCAAACTTGCTGTAAGTGATGGCTTCCATGATGTGCCCATTATTGTTAGGATCAATATCGAGCCAGTTGATGATGAGACTCCAACAATTATGCTCCCAGCTGGCCTGCTTGGAGCCTCTATTGATGTGTTGGAAAATGGAGCAACAGAGATTACAAGTAATGTCATTCAGGGTCGTGATGAAGACACAGATGACCTTATGCTGACCTTTATTGTTGAGGAACCCCCCAGGCTGGGTGAAATCCTGGTCAAAGGAGTTGCAGCTGAGAGATTCACTCAGGAGGACATTATCAATGGGATGGTAGTATATGCTCATACATCCGGCGAAATCGGTCCAATCAAAGACCATGACTCTTTCAACCTAACTTTGTCTGATATGTCTGATCAGTGGGTTGTGGGGGGCAACAAGGTCCAAGGTGTAACAGTTCACGTCACCATCCTTCCTGTTGACAGCATTCCACCCGTTGTCAGTGTTGGTGGGCAGTTTGTTGTGGTGGAAGGGGAAAAGAATGTCATTACCTTTAACCACATTCAGGCTGAGGATGTTGACACCAATGATGACGATATCTTGTGCACCATCATTTCCCAACCAACATCTGGCTATGTGGAAAATATCTCCCCAGCAGCTGGCTCTGAGAAATCAAGGGCGGGAACGGCCATCACTGCCTTTACCATAAAGGACATTGGCCTCGGTCATATCTATTACGTCCAAAGCATTCACAAAGGTGTTGAGCCTGTGGAAGACCGTTTCACCTTTCGCTGCTCTGATGGTATTAACTTCTCTGAACGACACTTCTTCCCCATAGTCATTATTCCAGCCAATGATGAAAAACCTGAGATTTTTGTACGCGAGTTTGTGGTGCTGGAGGGTATGAGTCTCATTATTGACATGCCAATTCTAAATGCTGCTGATGCTGATATCCCTGGCGATGAACTACACTTTGAGATCATCAAAAACCCAAAGCACGGTGCGATAGTTCAGCAGCTCAGCACTGGCACGATCCCCGTAGTTAAGTTTAATTTAGAGCAGATCAAAGAAGCGTCCAACATTGTCTATGAACACGATGACTCTGAAACCAAAGAAGACAGTTTTGAGGTCAGGTTGTCTGATGGCAAGAACAAAGTCGAAAAAACTGTTCTAATCATGGTTATTCCTGTTGATGACGAGACACCAAGAATGACTATAAATGATGGGCTCGATGTTGAGATTGGAGAGACAAAACTAATCAGTAATAGGATTCTAAAGGCAACAGATCTTGACTCCGAAGACAAGGAACTAACATATGTTGTGCGTTTTGGCCCTGGTCAAGGATACCTTCAGCGTATCAGCCAATTTGGTGATGTCTTAGGGAATATAACCCTGGGAATGAATTTCACACAGGATGAAATTGACAAGCAACTTATCCAGTATGTACACACAGGCCAAGAGGGAATCCGTGACCTGCTCAAATTTGATGTCACAGATGGTATCAACCCACTGATAGACCGTTACTTTTACATCAACATTGGAAGCATTGACATAGTTTTCCCAGATGTCATCAACAAAGGTGTGACCCTCAAAGAAGGGGGAAAAGTCACTCTTACTACTGATCTCCTCAGCACTACTGATATTAACAGCCCTGATGAATATCTCAGCTTTAGCATCACAAGAGCACCCAGCAGAGGACACTTAGAGTGTACTGACTACCCTGGTGTTCCTATTTCCACCTTCACACAACTGCAGCTCGCCGGTAATAAAATCTACTACATACACACGTCCGATGATGAGATGAAAATGGACAGCTTTGAGTTTGAGGTGACAGATGGCTACAATCCAGTTTTCAGAACTTTCAGAGTGTCTATTACTGATGTTGATAACAAGAAACCTGTCTTGACCGTCAACAAGCTGGTTGTGGAGGAAGGAGAAACTAAGCTCATCACGCCATTTGAGTTGACTGCCGAGGACCGGGACACTCCTGATAGCCTGCTGCGCTTCATAGTCACACAGGTGCCGGTTCACGGCCAGCTGCTTTTCAACAACTCCAAGCCAATCACAAGCTTTACCAAGCAGGACCTGAACGAGAACCTTATCAGCTATAAGCATGATGGGACTGAGACCAATGAAGACAGCTTTTCTTTCAGTGTCACTGATGGCACTCATACAGATTTTTACATCTTTCCTGACACCGTATATGAGACACGCAAGCCTCAAGTGATGACCATTCACATAAATACAGTGGATAATGGTGTGCCACAGATTGTTGTTAACAAAGCTGCTGCCTCACTGAAAGTCCTTCAGACAGGGCACCTAGGCTTCATTTTCACCAGTAAAGTCCTTCGATCAGAGGACAGAGACAGCCCTCAGAAAGTTCTGAAGTACACAGTGTCTGAGGCTCCACTGTACGGCTTCATCATGAACGCTGCGCTGGGGAATGACAGCATCACGACTTTCACACAAGGTAAGATGATATCACACAACTGAGTATTTCAGCATGTTCTTAAACCGTGCAGAAAAATAAGTCTCTTATAACTCTCTTTTTTTGTCAGACAAACTCCAAATGAATCATCATGCTGCACATAATGATTATAGAGTATCATTTTTGTATTTGTTACCAAATATGCGGAGGTTGCAAAGACAAATTTTAATGACCGTATGTAAAGACACATATGTGACAGGTTAACAGTTGAGTTTTAATGTTTAAGTTAAAGTTGTATTTTTTTATATTTGTCACACTAACAGCTGATATCAATGAAATGAAGATCTGTTACGTGCTGTTGGATCAGAGTAACGCCACAAGTGACATCTTCTATTTCACAGTCGAAGACAACGGTAGGAACCCTTTTTTTATTCAACGCTTTCATGTACTGTCTAGCCAAGTCACAGTCATTCACCATAAGGTTTTCTTCAAGAGTTTATCTCCTTATTAATGGCTTCTTAAAACTGGAACTTCCTGCTTTCTGTCGATCAGGCTAGTGTTTGCATCACAAAGACTTAGGGCAGCTAGCCATGACTGACACACGGCACAGAGGTGCTGCCTCTGTTCACGCCAACGGAAAAGCTGGCAGGTTTAAAGGACAGAGTTCAAAGGAGACTTAAGCCAAACACTAACTGCAAGTTTGTAAAAGTGAAAGACTACCACATGCTTGAAACTTTATTGTTAAAGCACAAAAGGATCCTTCCCCTCTGTGTGCTTCTGAGAGCTTTCAATGTTGCATATTGATCATTTGCTTGAAGCAGCCGAATTAAGTGAATGTTTTAAATCGAGCTCTGTTAAGGAAAATAACCATTTGTTATTTTAACTCGTTTCACTGAGGCATTTTACACATTACTCACCTGCAAGTGTATGACAATTTTCTGCATAGGCTATACTCATTTTTCTCAGCCTTTGACAGAGGCAGGGATGTTTTCAGTTAGGGTTAGGGTTCTATCTTTATCATTAGTTATTACATGCTAACATCAAACCCACTGACAAAGCAGGAATAGGGGGATGTGATTTTGACCATTTTCATATCTACATTCAGAAAGAGAAGGCTTAGTTTGGCATAGAGTTCATGTGTACTAATTAAGTCTGCCTTCAGGCAGCTTTGACTTTTTGTTAAATGAAAACCTAAAGCTCTTACATAACCTGAAACTATGCAAGTATAACCGTTCAACACCTTGACAATTAATCGATATTTCTCCGCTTCCATTTGTTATTTAATAAGCTCTTGAAGGGGAGCTTTATCTTTTGAAAGTGTGGGTTTAAAAGCAGGAAGGCAGCACAAGGGGCTCAATTAGCTCAACACTCCTGGTTGTGTTTGTCTTCCCACTTTGTTCAGGCTTCCACTCAGCTGAACCAGGTGCAGTGATCCACACTGCAACTTAAAACAAAGCCACATTTCAGCAAAGCTACAGTTTAAAGGATAAGAGAATATGAAAACACTCAGGCTCAACACACAAGACATTGTTATTTATAGTATACAGATGTATTCCTGCATTAAACGAACACACCCACATCTTTGCTTACCCACAAAATTCTACCTGCATCACAAACAAGGCAAACAAATAGACAGGCCCATCCGGTGAAGGATCAAACAGATAGCTGGCGGAAAGTGAGATGAGCCAGGTGTCAAACCCACAAAGTGTTGAAAAGATGACCCAAGGAGGAGGTAGTGTTATCCTGGACATGCAGCAGCATGCAACTGCAGAGCATGCTAATGGTCAGGCTATCTGCCAATAAATCTATGCAGGTGAGCTGTTTGTGTTGGAGGTTAAATCTAGGGTCAGTGGAGATGAGCAGCCCAGATAATCCACTCATTTCAGCCTCTGGTAGCAAACGTAGTGATTAAACACACAATACAATTTTAAAGGGAAATTTTGTGGGTTATCGATCAGCTAAAGTATTGGTGGCAATTTTGAAAATGTGTAATCCAACACTCAAAAACACATTATTTCTTAATGTTTACTCTCTGATCACTCATGAGATTTCAATGGCAACATATAGAGATTTGTCTGACAAAGAAAAAACAAAAAAAGAATAAAGTTCTTTATAATGAGCGTTCATTTTTACGGGACACTTAATCATTTGTAACTTCAAAATGCCATTTCTAAATCAATTTAAGAGGGTAAGTGTATAGTATATGATATACTCGATTTGAGTGTGACCTGTAACCTGAAATAGCCCTCAGATACAGTGATAGAGGAACTGCTTAAGGGTCTTTGCAGCTCTTAAAAGGTACAGGTCACTACATGCACTGCAGCCATGTATCTTCACAAAGATGTCAAGAGTCCATTGACAAACCATCAGTGTTTGGCCAAAAATTTTAGTTGTGGACAATGTTATTGCAAGTGTATCAGCAGTTTCAGAGCATTAAGATCTTTATCACAGACATACAGAAAATATTCAGTGTATGAGGCAGGAACAGTGTGTGATTGTGTGTGTGGCAAAGCACAGCTGAAGTATAAATAGAAATATGGTGCGTGCAAGAGGTTGGGAGCAGAGAATCAGTTAGAACTGGTTATTGCAGAGTGAAACTGTTTGGCTGGTGGTTGAACTCTAGATTCCTAAAAGAAAGCTGTTTGCTTGAAGGCAAAATAAAAAAAGGAAATTGCCAAAAATGCACAATCCTGCTCTAAGAGTTTCTGTGAGAAGAAGAATCTACAAGATAAAACTGTTTAAACTTATTTAGTCATTCTTTTTACACAGGAACTTTTTGGGCATCCTTTCAAATCTATTTCATTTAATAATACACCAAAAGTGTTCAGCAGGTGAGACGTCTGGCCTGAGGGTGGGGCAGTTTAACACCTGGGCTCTTTGACCACAGAGTCCTGCCTTTTCAGTTCCTAAAGGATTTGCTTTAGTGTTGTCTTGGAGGAAGTCTGGATGGTAACATGTGTTTCTTTTAAAACCTATATTCTAATATTGGCTACATTGTTATTACCCCGGCCATGTAATGCAACAACTTTATAATTATGAGGACTGGCTTCTGAATGAAGATGCTTTGGTATCATACGTTTCTTGAGAATGTTGTAGACGGGCTCCAGGTGACCCATGGATTCGTTTATCTCAGGAATCAAACTGCTTTGTTGTCAAAGCTGCAGATAAATGTGAAGTTACAAACGGGCTGAAAAGGAGAATTTTCTGACATATTGAAATTAGTTACCAGCCTTGGTAAATGTATTGTATCATTAAACCTTCTTCAGCTATTTAGAAAATAACCAATTATTACGTAGTAGCTAGAATACCATGAAAATAATGATGGTGACCTCAAACCTAAACTGTTGTTGTCCCCTCTGTCTGCTGGGAATTCCTATTAAAAATGCACCCTGCATGCAAGTTATATGTCAGGTCAGAAACTCCCTGCAGTCATCTCTTCAGCAGTAGGAAGGTGAAGCAATAAATAGTTGTTTTTACAAGTGGATAAACAGCCTGCATATATCTCTGTCCACTCTGCATAGCTCAAACACAAAACAGGAAAATTCAGAAAGCCTCATCGTCAGACATGTTGAGAGACATATATTGTTTGGGTTTAACAGTGTATTGGCTTGTGCTTTAAAGTTTGAATGGTTTCTCTGCGTTTCCCAATGGCAACAATACGGCCTTCCAGCTCTGCAGAAGGATCATAAACCCTGTTGGGCTAAGTGTTATGTGATCATTCAGTGTCAGGGAGAGGAATGCACTTCCTCAGAGACTCCAGACTCCAGCAGCACAGACAGAGCAATAGCTTCAAGTAAAGTGGTATCTCAAGCAGACAGGTGTATACGTGAGAGGAAAGGCTCCAGGGGGATCTCCTTTCAAAGTCTGTGGTCAACCCGCTCCCAGCTCTACAGAAATCCAACCCAATCTCTGATAGCCCGATAACTCCATTAGTAGACTACCAATGTGGAGGTGCATATCCTGGAGGGGCACCTCTCTGGGGGGTGGAATCATACCAAGCTACAAAAGAAGAGCGAACCAAAGCCAAAATGAACAAATAAAGATAGAGAGCCACAAACACAAAAAACACCTCTAAAAGTGTGTTTTGGATATATTCTTAAATATTTTAGGTGTGCAATTGGGCATTAAGATTGGATACGAACCATGTTATACGGCTACATCATAACTATGTTTGGGGATCTTACATGTCACTTGTGTCAACAGTCACAGGAGATTTATTGGCTAAAGGTGCCACCGTTGGGGCCCCCTGTGACTTGGAGAGACTGAAGCCTTTTAGTCTTCCTCCACCACACCCCACTCTGTTCTCACTTTCCCTGCGTCCAGTCCTCTAAGAATCCTTCAGGCTATCGCCATTATATTTCTTTGGTGTGTTCTTTGTTTCACCTCATCTCCATTTCTTTCCTTTTGGGGCTTCCCCTTTTCATTTCTATATGGAATCCTCTTATTCTTTGCATGTTTTTCTCTTTTAGTGCTTTTGGTCCAGCCGTGATTTATGTTGCTTGGAGGTCCTTAAGGGTGGGGTGTTATTATGTATGGCTGGAGCAGTTATTCTTATCTGCTCTCATATGGCAAAGCTGTCGCAGTGCTTAGTCAAACTGTCACTGAGTTTCAAGTACTTTGCTTCGGAGCCACACCAGCGACATGGAATCCTCAGTTTGTCGGACTGTCAGTGCACCCGTCACTCTGGATCACAATGAAATTCCTCAAGGCAACTGTGGAGTTCATATTTGTGCCGTCATTCAGCCAAATCAGCCGAAATCATCACTCTGACATTCTGGCAGCCAAAGCTCAGAATGAACTGTTGCTATTTTTCAAACCGCGTGAAAATAAGACTTTTTTTCTCTCTTGGTCTTTTAGTAGTGTTTCATGGAATGATAAGGATTCTTTGAACCTCAAGTTTGTTGTGAATCGATTTCCACAATTGTTGCAACTGTCCATCTTGCAACGCCAATAGTCCTACTCCAAAGCAGCTGAGCAGACATTTTGATGTCTTTCCAATCAGAAACTCCTAGGTGAATCCTTTTAAAGCTATTGTTTTATGTTTGTATCAACTTGTGGTCAAACATACCACGCTTAAAAGCTGTGCCACTAAAATGCTGACTGGAACTTCCCCAGTATTTATATGTACAGGAAGATTGATGAGGAAATGCCATAATGTGATGCTTGTCACTTGATGAGGATATTCTTAGCAGGTTGCTCTTCCTTGCATCATCCTAGTGGACGTCAAAGTCTCATTCTGACTTTCCTCTCCAATGATATTTACAGTCTGACCCACAATCCTGCTGTATCTATGTATGGTACCAACAGCAGTGAGCTCACAAGGAACATGCTGCTAAAGCGAAAATCTGTGGATGAAATGTCCTCTTTACCCTGCTTGGCCAGCTGTGTTGTATATTTAAAAAAGGCTTATTTGCAATGAACTTCCCTTTGGAAAACATTATCATGCCATATGTCATAGTCCTTGTGAACTATGAATCACACTGTAGCTGATTTATTAAATGGCTGCTAACAGTGACATATGGAAACACATGCACCCTATAAAACTTTTCATCCCAGTAGAAATTATTGTGATTGTCAGTTTGAAAGCTAATGGAAATGTGAGCTGTGACCAGCAGCAACTGTGAGTATTAGATTTGATTGCTGGTCTAATATAGTATGTGTCATAAAACATGTAATAAATCACACCCTCAGTCATATCTAAAACCATGTCACAGATGCAGATTTTACCTCTTTGTTTGTAGCTACATTTCTCAAGGTGTTTTTTTCTGCTTTTTTTCCCAATAAAGAACTTTTTTCATCTCTTTTTTCTGTCTGAAGCGTTTGTGTAACCGTGGGAAGTCTGCCTTCCTGATTAATTCTTGATCTGTGGGGGCGTATGCCAGGCCCATGTTCACTATCTGACAGCATGTACAAAAGAAGTCAGGGAAGGGAGATTCCCAACTCCTACTTGCTGTGAACAATGTGGAGGAAGGCAGAGAGGCACACCATGGTGGTAGACGTGGCCCACCCAGACTGTGGCCTGCTGTCCCTCTCAGTTGTTCGTCCCACAAGTGAACAAAGCCGGCACAGGGAGTAAGGGCAACATGGAGGGGGAGGATGTTTGTTGAGTACAGCTGTCACTCTGCTCCACCAAGAGTCAGGCAGGAAAGAAAGTTTGGCAAAACAGGAACAGGGGACTGAGAGACAAAGTCAGGGAGACCTTTGCTTTGATGCTCTTTGCCAAAAAGCAGCTTAGTTTTTGTTTGTCATCATGCTGAGGTTATGCTACTACATCACCAAGTCTGAACACAGCTGGAATGGTTTGTGAATGAGTGATATTTGAAATTCATCTATTTATGATGGAAGTTGGCACAACTTTCTCAAATATCATAGCTAATCTCTTAAGTTAGCTGCCTTTTTCCAGGAAATCTAAACAACAGCCTACAGGTTCTAAGCCACTTCTTTTGTGTGAAAGCTACACCTGCATCATGCCTGTTTGCTCTCACAGCTTACTCCATGCTACTGTAAAACACCTCCACTGCTATAACCCTTCATTTGGGATACGTATGTCTCCATTGTCCTGCATTTGGATCATGTACCACTGTAAATGATCATATTAGGAACTAACTACACATCTGAGGGATACTGAAGTGTTAAAGTTGATAAAACAAAGTGTAATTGTTACTTTACTATATAAATAGACACTATTTCTTTAATGTAATAACTGTGGTCCTCTGTTAGTATTTCGGTGTTACTCAGCATAAGGTGTAGCAGCTTGAAAAACTCTTGGTGTCATTGAGTTCTAGTCTGATTCATAAAAACTCCATTGTTTAACTTATTTTTTTCAGTACAGGAACCTAAAGCTGCCTGATTGCTTGATACCAAAACTGAAGCAGCTTTTTGTCTTGGCCATGTTCATTTGATAATCCTTGATGATAGCCTCTGGCTAAGCTTCTGCTGATTTTTGCTCCAAATAGGGCCAGCTGCCAGACGGATCCTCTCTCAAGCACAAAGAAAGTAGGATAACTGAAATTTGTCAAAGAATTGCAGTAATAATAAACTGTAATAATAAAGTTGTAGCTGTTCCAATTCTATTATTTTCATTTTTCTACATTAGTGGATGTTGGTTTAGATGCAATTCAGAATCATAATTTTCCCAGGTTCTCCACTTATTTACTATCAGTTTAATCTAAGTATGCCTCTGATTCTCAATTACTGTGGTTTGGTATGTTGTGACTTAGCTAGATGTGGCTTTGATGTTGGCACATCCGGTCACAGCATAAAGGCAGCAGCCTCTACTGTTTGCACTGAAGTGAACTCAGAGTCATGCTGCTGTATTCTGGGGCTCTTTTCCATTGTTCTCCTGGTATTTTATTTAGTGTAAAGACTCTTTAACAGATGTAGTGAGTAATTCATTGTGGGTTTTTTAATGTTCTGACTCTTGAAACAGTATGAATGAAGTTCCTCTGCTCTTGAAAATGTTATGAAACTGCATTTCCAAACTTTTCCGGAGTTGAGGTCCCTCTCTCCTCTGAAATTCTTCAACAGTGTAAGGTCAACGAGGCTGCTGTCCGTGTGACCAGCCTTGCAGAACTAAAGCAAGACACCTTTTCTATCCTCTGTAATCCAGACTCAGAGAATCCACTGAACCTGACCCGTTTCACATCACACATCACAGGTCACCAGGCTCATCTCACTAAAAGATGAAACGTAGGTTATTTAGCAGCTGTTACAAAGAAAATGTACTTAAGAGAAACCTATTATGTTAAGTATCTCTGAAGTCACTATTGAACCTATACTCTAAACTAAATTGACAGTTCTAGGGATTATGTGTGTCATGACATAGTGTGGATTTAGGATTGAATCTGTGTTTGTAGAGCACTGTCGCATTAGACGTTTCGCAATTTTCACAGATAGCCTTATTACTTCACAATCACGGTTTGAAATTGACATGAAAGATGAGTAAATGATCATAGCTGATGATGGGAATGACAGCATAAGTAGGGATAAAGCTAATTTCACTCTTGAAGTCACACTTTAAAACAACAAGCCTAGGCCAGCTCTTCTTCCACATCCTGCTCATGGTTTCACTTGATTTACACAAACAAGTTTAAATGTGCCAAGTTTACAAGAGTTATATTTACTCTTATATTCACTGAATAAAAGTAGCTGAGAATCGGTAAGTAGTAAAAAGAAGTTTTGCAAGAGCCCTTGAGATGCAGTGAAGTTCTATTTAGGGAGGCCTGGGTATTAAGTTATCATGTTTCCCTTCCGAAATTAAAATGCCTCTTTTATTCCCATTTCCTTGAGCTCACGACAGATTGCAGTTTACAAGCTTCACTAACTTCCAATATGAAGAAAGCTGATTCTGATAAGGTTGAAAGGAGCTCTGAATCAAATTGTTTGTTTTTGCCCTCTGTAGGTGGAAATAAACTAAGACCTCAACCATTCAGACTAAATTGGGCCTGGATTTCTCTGGAACAGGAATTCTACTTAGTAGATGAAGATGCCAAATTCCTGGAGGTGAAGCTGAAACGCAGAGGCTACCTGGGAGAGACCTCATTTGTTAGTAAGTGTTCAGTCCCAATATTGTATTAATGTCAAGATTCATTTTAATTTAAATTAAATCATTTCATGTTTGAATATGTTTTTATATGTTTCAAGATATTTTTCTCACATGCCTCTCAATGATGTCATTAACTCCTTATTTTTAATTCAAACATTGACTAACAGTTCTAACTGAATTCTTTTATTGCATCATCCCATTTGAGTGTCATTTTAACAATCAGAGCATACAGCAGTACATCCCTCCTCATTTACACCTGAAGAATCATAAAAGAAAATGCATCATTTTCTACAGCCTGTGTGTGGAATTTATTTTGTGTTGTACGATAGCAGAGAGAATTGGACTGATATCTTCACAGGATTGATCTGCATAGGTTTGTCTAAATGCCACCAGGTACATTCAGTTACAGCTCAAAACAGTATACATCCATCTCACTCAGGCATTGCAACTAAGGATGGCACAGCAAAAGCCGACAAGGACTTCCGTGGCAAATCTCAGAAGCAAGTCCAGTTCAACCCAGGGCAGACTACAGCTGCCTGGAGGGTGAAGATCTTCACAGACCAGGAGTTTGAGACCTCAGAGACGTTTGAGATACAGCTGTCAGACCCAGTCATGGCAGTGCTGGAATTTCCTGACTCAGCAACTGTGGAGATTGTGGACCCTGGGGATGGTAGGTATCTTGTATTTTTCTGCCATGAAAGAAAAATGGAACCAATTTCACTTTACTTGCTTTTTAACTATCAGCTAATTGTTTGTTTCTTTTGCATCTCTTCCAAAACAGAATCAACCGTCTTCATCCCTCAAGCAGAATTCAAGATAGAGGAGGACATTGGGGAACTGTTGGTGCCGGTGAGGCGTTCAGGAGATGCCAGCCAGGAACTTATGGTCGTTTGTTACACTCATCAAGGTATTTGTGACCTGTTTATTTATGCTGCATTAGAAAAGTCCCTTCATAGGAGTCCATAAAAGTCAATTCATGCATTAATATGTTGCAATTTTTCTGTACAAATCTAGATGTACATTACCCATAATCAAGTGCATTTAATGTCGCCCACCTTCCAATACAGTCTGAAGAATGAAGACATAACTCCATGTCCCTACTTTGGTCCCATTATTCTACAGGTACAGCCACTGGCACAATACCCAGCACTGTTCTGTCCTACTCCGACTATATAACCCGACCAGAGGACCACACCAGTGTTCTGCGTTTTGACAAGGATGAAAGAGAAAAAGCCTGCCGCCTCATTATCATTGATGATTCCCTGTATGAGGAAGAGGAGAGCTTTAATGTCAGCCTGAGTATGCCGATGGGGGGCCAATTGGGTGCCAAGTTCCCATCAGCCAAAGTCATCATTTTGGCAGACAGTGATGATGGTGAGTGGCTTTTCTCATTCCAGCCGACTTCAAATGTCAGATGATGTCTTCTCTGCAAAATAATATATCCACTTACTGTACTGTAGCTGAATAAGATTCTTGAAATTCTCCTAAACCCTTCTCCTAACCTTAACCCTAACCCTAACCCTAACCAACACCTACCTGGATTGTTTGTTCTCATACACAAGTCTAATGACTCTGTTTACACGATATGCTTCATATTCCTCTGTGTGTTATGTCTATGTGTTAGACACAAGATAACAATAGAATGGGGTTGTGCAAGACCATGGTCCATTATTTGTCAGGCTACACTGTAGCCTGACAGATAAAAAGGACTTTAAATCCCTCTCTGCTAACCCAGCGACCCCCTTGTTGTCACTGGCATTCAAGGGAACTGAAATGGAGAGAGAAGCCATCCTTTTGTCAAAGACCAAAAGGCAAGTGGCTTGGCATAACAACTACGTGACTCTTATGTTTTTCTACTGTCTCCTCAGCTAAATAGTTATCAGAAATATGTGTCATTTTCCCAGAAAGACACTGGGCATATGACTGCAATCCCAGCCATCACTTTTCCACTCTGTTTCACCCAAGTGGTGAACTGGATCCCCTTGAAAAACTACTGAACTTTCTGTGTAAATAATTGGCTTGCAATCCCAGACTTGCGAAAAGACAAGACACCTCAGTCAGGCCTTTATTGTGGTTTTACTTCTTGGTGGGTCCTGAAGTAACACCATGCCATAAATCTAGTTCAGTGTACATATGTGTGTGTGTGTGTGTGTGGGTGTGAGTGTGTGTAAAACCATCTGCCCGTCTGCGTAAACTTGTGGTCTGAACTCTTGCCAACATCAAGCCTCTATTGTTACTGTATTTGTCAGTTTCTTCCTCCCACTGATCTCTAGGTTGCCATGTTGGCACTCATCCCCCCTTCCCCCCTCTGCTCGACACTGAGCAGAAGCTGAGAGGCACTGAAAGTGTGCCAAAAATCTTTCCTTCATCAACTGTTTTACATGCAATACACACAAAGCTCTAAGACAACACATATGTAAATATGTAGTTTAATAAGTGTTTGATATATAGATATTCTGTTGCTCATTAAGATCCAATCTCATTCTTTGGCAATAAACAAGACATTTTTCCAAAGATTTTACCACCCTTAATAACAGTCACTTATAATAAACAGGTTGTTCACAAGACAATTGCCAACTTGTTTTTGATGATTATCAAATAATTTATATCTTTTTTGCTTTTCTTTTTCTACAGTTTATGCCGAAAACCGTGTCTTTTAGTTGATCTGTAAGGGCACTGGCTGGACAGAGAGTGATGAAAGTGCACTTAATACAATAGTGATGAGAGATGAGTTGACGTTGTGTTCCAGGGCTCTGAAGTCTTGCCTTCTACCTTTGCAAAGGGTCCGGTGGCTTGTTTTTCCCTGCCACCCCCGCTCCCTGACCAATGCTCTTTATCAGTTTCTCAATCAACAAAACCCAGGAACATCCCCTCACTTACACATCATTCTTCATGCACATACAAGTACACTTCATTCTTCAGGTGCATCTTCGACCGCTTGGCGTTGAGTTCAGACAGAGCTGTCTGGATTTAGATAAGGGGGGGAGGAAGGTCGAAGAAGGACGGGATAAAACGGATGACAGCTCTCTTCCTGTGCTGAGACAAAAATGAGGGCATTTGTTCAACCATGCCAATCTGTCCCTTCTAAATTTTGGTGGAGTTGTATATAATGCCATCAGATATTCTCAGAAACTATCCATGCACAGCCCAGGAGCTGATGCTTTAGTTTAATTACAGTCATTTACAGTTTTTTTCAATTTCTCCTCAAAGATCAGACAGACTTTTGACTTCTTACTTTTAATTCTTGTGTCACACAGAGCCTTCACTATACTTTGGTGAGCCTGAGTATGCTGTGGATGAGAGTTCAGGCTATGTTGAGGTAAAGGTCTGGAGGACAGGTACTGACCTGTCCAAGACTGCAACTGTAACAGTCCGCTCCAGGAAGAGTGAGCCTGTTTCTGCAGAAGGTAAATTCAGCTGTTTGTCATATTCTATGGCCTTGAGTCGTTGCATAAAGCTAGAATCCAGGGCTCTTTTCTACCTCTCCCAGCTGGACTCGACTATGTTGGTATTAGTCGCAACCTGGACTTTGCTCCTGGAGTGACGATGCAGACGTTTCGGGTTACCATCCTGGATGACCTGGGCCAGCCAGAGCTTGAAGGACCTGAAACCTTTGACCTTGTTTTAAGGATGCCCATGAATGCTGTGTTAGGCGAACCGAGCAAGACCACCATCACCATCAATGATACTATCACTGACTGTGAGTGCCTTATATTCTGAAATAAAATGTCTCTGTAAGAAACCTCATAGATTCTTAATGGAAGCTTCTTGAAAAGTCTATTGTTATATCAGATCATGTCAATATAATCAATGTGAAATAGTTTTTCATTGAGCAGGTCAGTCATTTTTTATCATTTGAAAATTCATTTGTACATTAGTTTGCTTCAGTTCTAACTGTGGTACTAAATAATGTGAAAAAGACAAATACAAACTTGTGAATATCATAATGTAGTGTGTTGATTTGACCTTTTTAGTGCCCAAGGTTCAGTTCAAGGAAGGAAGCTACAAGGTGGATGAGTCAGATGGGGAAGTGAGGGCCACCGTGTACCGCAGCGGAGACATCAGCCTCAGATCCTCAGTGCGATGTTACACCCGCCAGGGCTCCGCTCAGGTCATGATGGACTACAACGAGAGGCCGAATACTGACGCATCGGTTGTTACCTTTCTACCAGGTCAGACATCCTTTGACCTTTGATTTCTCTGTTTCCCTTAATACTTCTTTTCTAATCTCCTTACGCCTGTTCTGTTCCTAACTCCCCACATCTACTCCTAAGGTGAGTCTGAGAAACCATGTGTGGTGAGCCTGATGGATGACTCGGTCCACGAGGAAGATGAGGAGCTACGTTTGGTTCTGGGAAGCCCCAAGAGCAAGTCTCCATATGGAGCCTCTATAGGGGAGCAGAAGGAAGCACTGGTCACCATCACAGACAAGAAAGACAGTACGTTCTTGTTGAAGCCAAATGTATTGAGATACCATGAAATATTTAAACCAAGCACTAGAAAAATCACAGTGGTTGGCCCCTTCCAATGGGCTCACAACCCATGGGAGGGGCCAAAGGGGTCGGGTGCTGTGTGAAACGGGTGGCGGCCGGATGCAGAAGCTGAGTCTTGGGACGTGGAGTCACCTCTCTGGTGGGGAAGGAGCCTGAGTTGGTGTGCGAAGTGGAAAGATTCCAGCAAGTGGTGGCAGAGGCAAAAACTGGGGCATGGGAGGAGTTTGGGGAGGCCATGGAAAAAGACTTCCGTGTGGCCTCGAGGCAATTCTGGCCCACCATCCGGTGTCTAAGGGGGGAAAGCAGTGCTCCTCCAACACTGTTTACAGTGGGGTGTGCTGTTGACCTCAGCTAGTGACGTCGTGGAACGAGATCACGGATACAAGAGGCCGAAATGAGTTTCCTCTGCAGGGTGGCTGGGCTCTCCCTTAGAGATAGGGTGAGAAACTCGGCCATCCAGGAGGGGCTCAGAGTAGAGCCGCTGCTCCTCCATGTTGAGAGTGGCCAGTTGAGGTGGCTCGGGCATCTGACTAGGATCGCCTCCCTGGTGAGGTGTTTAGAAGTGGCAGGGGAGAGGGAAGTCTGGGTTTCCCTGATTCGGCTGCTGCCCCCACAACCCGACCCCGTTTAAGCGGTGGACAATGGATGGATGGATGGATAATATCCTTAGGTACTGGATGTGAAAACAATGAGTATGAATAATAGATATTTTTCTTTAAACAAACATATCTACAACATTTCAAAAGAAAAAATCTGTCTCGGTTTTCTGAACTGATTTCTGTGTCTTGATTTTAGTCTGAGTTTTGGTACAGAGATTCACAGACTTATGGTCAACTTTTATTCCTGTTGTAGAGCCCATTATCCGTTTTTCTGAGATCAAGTACAGTGTGCGTGAGCCTCAAGTAAAAGGCGATGTGGCAGTAGTGAAGATTCCTGTTCTGCGATTTGGGGACACATCAAAGGTTTCTGTGGTGAGGGTGCACACAAAGGATGGCTCTGCAACCTCTGGAGACGATTATAACCCACTATCAGAGGGTAAGGGACCCTGGTTTAAAATTACAGTAAGTGTTCTTAAGTTACAAATATCTTACATTTACTGTAAATCTATTTCTAAGATTTGGTGTTCAAGGAAGGCGAGACGGAGCATTTTGTGGAAATTGAGATCTTGTATGATGGTCAAAGGGAGATGAGAGAAGCTTTTACAGTCCACATGAAGCCTGATGACAACATGGTTGCGGAAATACAGGTGGGTTTCAAGCCACATGAGACACAAACACGTCTACACAAGAACAAAGAGAAACCTAGAGAAAGTCCAGTGTTTGCATGGTGCTTCACTGCAGATCTGCACACGTGAACATGCGTCCTGTCATGTCAGTCTGTGTTAAAATAGGCAGGCGGCAGCTGGCAATGCTGTCAGCACACCCGAACCACAGTCTTATAAAAAGCTTTTCCCTCTGGAATGAGATGCTGAGGGGAATGTCCTCGTGGAGCCAAACAGAAGACAAACCTATAAACAGATCTGTGACATTCTACCCATACACTCATCAGCCACATACTGCTCACATTACAGAAATAGCTTTTCTCCTGCTAAGTTTTTTTGTGCTTCATTATACTGTAATTAAACTGTAACAACCCAAGAGACCCCTGTGCTCTGCATCAGCAGTTCTAATAAAAGGGAATGTTTCAAATGTGCATCCAGATATATATAAACCTTTCTTTATTTTGGATAAATAGCATACCGAGGAGTAATATGTGTGCATGCACACTGAACTAATCTTATGGCACTTATGAACAGATGAGTGTTTTGGGTGCAGGAGAACAGGGCCCATGGAGTCAGGAGGTCTCCCAGTGGACCCATCAGCTCTTATTTAGCTAACTTAGTAGGTTATAAGTATAGATAGAACACATATGATATGTTGAGCAACAGTGGCAAAATGAGGACTTAATCTAATCACAAATAATGGTTATTTCAACAATGTGCAACACAAAATGACCCAATCAGGTTTTAAACAATTCTAAAGAGATGCCTAATCAGCACCAAATATCAATACTGGGTTGGTGTTAGCAGTACATTCATTTAACCAAATTCATTCAAGAACAGCAAGAATATTTTTTTCCTAGAGAAATGTTTAGGGATGTTTAATTGTACTTGAATCTGCACAGTTAATAATGTCTACTGTTTTCTTCTTGATAGATGAACAAGGCTATTGTGTACATAGAGGAAATGGACAGCGTAGCAGATGTTACCTTTCCAGCGGTTCCCGAAGTGGTGTCCCTGCTCATGTATGATGACACAGCTAAAACCAAAGACAGGCCCTACCCCCCCAATGGATACCCTGTTGTGTGTGTGACTGTGAGTAGGATTCTACTTTCTTCCCTCTAAAACACGTCAGCCATACCATTTATTATTGTCACTTGCGGATAATCAAAAGACCTTTTAAATCTAATGAAAACATTGTAGAACATCTCGTTTGCCTTCTCCTCCAGGCCTGCAACCCAAAATATCACGACTTTGATAAAACAGGTTCAATCTGTTCAGCGGAGAACATCAACGATACTCTAACCCAGTACCGGTGGCTGGTGAGCGCTCCCACTGGATCCGATGGAGTGACCAGTCCAATGAGGGAGGTGGATACAAACACCTTCTTCACCAACACCAAGTCAATAACGTTAGATTCAATCTACTTCCAAGCTGGTTCCCGGGTTCAGTGTGCAGCAAGAGCCTTCAACGCCAATGGAGATGCTGGTCTGGAACTATCCAGTACCATTGTTGTGATCAGCAAAGATGAGGGTGCGTGGAGGGAAAAGAACAAGTACAAATATGGTATGATATGAGCAAAAGTTTCTTCAAATTCATGTCAAATCTTTGCAGGAATGTGTCAGCCTCGCATCCCAGGTACTGTTGGAGCCGAACCTTTCTCTGCTAAGATCCGCTACACAGGTCCAGATGATCCAGACTTTCCAAACCTTATCAAACTGACCATCAACATGCCTCACATGGACGGTAGGTGGCAAACCTGGTTGACATTTTTTGACTGATGGCCTGCAATCATCATTAGTATTTGATCATTCCTGTTGTGTGTAACATGTCCCTTGACTAGGTATGTTGCCGGTGATCTCTACTAGACCTCTGTCAAACTTTGAGCTTACACTGAGCCCAGATGGCACACGTGTGGGCAACCACCGCTGCTCCAACCTGCTGGACTTCAATGAAATCCAAACCGGCCACGGCTTCATCACGGATGCTACCAAAAACCCTGAAATTATTGGGGAGACTTCACCCTACCAGTACAACCCCATCATGCGGTCAACCAATTCCCTCCGCTTTTACAGAAACCTCAACTTAGAGGCCTGCCTCTGGGAGTTCAACAGCTACTACGACATGTCAGAGCTGCTAAATGACTGCGGAGGTTCTATAGGCACTGATGGACAGGTAGACAACATATGTTGTTAAAAAATACTGTAAAGTGCATTTCAATAATAGCTTAAAACATTGTTTCACAACAAGAATGAGATGTTAGACAGATCCAAAGTGTGCAAGTAGTAAATAATGAAAAAACTAATTCATACTTTGATTAACTTTATGATTGTTGCACCTGCTTTGCTAAAGTAACAAAGTTTTTTCACTCTGGCATCATACCATGAAAAATTGTCAATAAATTGCCGTGGAGGGGTAAACTACTCTGTGCAGAGATACTATGACCTAACCACCCTCATAATATATGGCTTGCCAACAGAAGTAGTTTTCCCCACTAAAAACCCTCCACCCAAGTCTAACCATAGCAGGAAGCTATGACCCTTGGCAATACTGTGACTTCAACACTAAATCAGAACCGCATAGAAATAGCTAGAGTACCGACTTCAGTTGTATCAATAACCACATCTGTCAGAAAAAAATATTTCAGTTAAATTTTGTCTCCAAAAATGATGACTTATGTTGTCTATTTCCCCACTTATTCAGGTGCTGAATCTGGTCCAGTCCTACGTTACCCTGCGTGTCCCTCTGTTTGTGTCCTATGTCTTCCACTCTCCTGTGGCTGTGGGAGGCTGGCAGCACTTTGACCTGCAGTCAGAGCTCAAACTCACCTTTGTGTATGACACAGCTATTCTGTGGCAGGATGGTATTGGCAGTCCACCGGAGGCTGAACTGCAAGGTACAGTCTCCACAGCTCCCAGCTAAAATTCCAAGAAAAAATCAAACAAATGTTAATTTGTGAACATTTTCGTAGGAGCCATGTATCCCACCAGCATGCGTATCAATGAGGAGGGCCGTCTCGTGGTCAACTTCAAGACCGAGGCCCGCTTCAGGGGACAGTTTGTTATGTCTCATCCAGGTATGAGGGTGGCGCCGACATGCACACATGCATCCCCTAAACCCGTCCAGTGGGGTTATTCTATACATATAGCCCCGTATTGGGTTACCTTGTGGCCCACATCCTCTCTCATCTATTTCTGGAGTTCCGCCACAGGGGTCTTCCTGTCTGAAAGTGCCAGAGGTCATTTACGCAAATGTCAAAATGACCCGGCAGCTTTTACAGTTAGCCAGCGAGTGACACGAACAATGTGAGAGATGCCCCTATAAATATGGGCTCAGTTGCTAGTTTAGATTGGGCAAAACGCAGCCGTAAATATTTACGATAGTACGCTTCTTAATCTTCAGGAACCAGCATAGCTTCCATGGTGATATGTGCTGACCACCCTGGGCTGACGTTTACGCTGACCCTGGTCAGGACTGAGCCCACCTATAACCAGCCCATGCAGCAGTGGACTTTTGTTTCGGACTTTGCAGTGAGTCATCCAGTCATCACAATGTCTGTCAGGGGCTTAAGACACTTAGCATCCTCAAAAGGTTTGCCAATGCATCCATCTGATCTGTAGGTGCGAGACTATTCTGGGACCTACACGGTGAAGTTGGTTCCCTGCATTGCGTCTCCCAATGGAGAGTTCAGCATCCCTCCTGTGTGCCACCCCAGAGAGCCACTTACGTTTGACGTGGACATCCGTTTCCAGCAGGTTAGACGTGATCTATGAGTTTTCCTCTTATGTTTCCCATCTGAATGCATCATTAGATGAGAATTTAGATGAGATCTTCTAGATTTTAGTTACAATTCATTCCATAATCTTTTGTTTTTTTAACCCATCGTCTCTAGGTGAGTGACCCGGTGGCTGCGGAGTTCAGCCTCAACACACAGATGTTGTTGCTATCCAAGAAAGAGCTGTGGCTCTCTGATGGCTCCATGGGCTTCGGAGACGGGACTGATGCTGCTTTCTCAGAAGGTAGTGCACTGCTGTCATCTAGTGGTTTTAAGTAAGAACACAGCACAGTACTAAGACCTCGCTCTTCGTTGGTCCTTCACTTAAGGCTCCACAATTTATGGCCGAGTAATGGTGGACCCAGTCCAGAACCTGGGGGATTCCTTTGCATGCAGCATTGAGAAAGTTTTCCTCTGCACTGGAGCAGACGGCTACGTTCCCAAATACAACCCCACTAATAAGGAGTTTGGCTGTCTGGCAGATGCACCATCTCTTCTTTTCAGATTCAAGATTTTGGTAAGATGCCACAGAGCCAAAATTTGGGGTGCAGTGTAAGAAAAGTAAAACATTTCTCTGATTATGATGTGTGTTGCTCTGCAGGACAAAGCCCAGCCTGAGACTCAAGCCTCAGTCTTCGGTGATGTTGCTTTTAAGGCATCTTTGGCCCAAGACACCCCTGGAGCTCTTCCTCTGGTCAGACAACCAGGCTCAGATGGCTTCACACTGTCTTCATCTCCTCTGTTCCAAGTAGGTCCACACGGGACAGTGTGATCATGTGCAGAAATATTAAGAGTGGAAAGTAATAGTATCTGGTGCTTTTTTCTCAGGTGGCTGCCGGTCGAGAATGGTTCATCCACACTATATACACCGTCCGCTCAAAAGAAAATGCCAATCGCATCATAGGCAAGCGCAGCGTGGAGTATCTCCATCACAGCGTCTCTTCTGTTGAGCAGCCCCACTCCTCCAACACGGGCACCCGCCGCCGCCGTGCGGCCCCCGTTTTCTCCGGTCCGGCTCTGTCCCAGGACATAGGTATAGAAAACAACCGTGGCACCAACATCCAACACATTGCTCTGGACCGAACAGACCGCATGGTGGTCAGCCAGCGGCAGCCCTGGTCTCCCAATCGTGGCGACCCCTTCCTGGAGCGCCCCCTGTTGGAGAGTTCAGGCCGAGAGCCAGCCGACAGCTCCTTCTTACCCATGGTGGTGGGCATCGCAGGTCTGCTCCTCCTCATCTGCCTCATCGCCATTCTCGTTATTCTTCTGTTGAGGCGCAAGAGGAAGGAAAAGAAGAATAAATTCCCTCCGTACAATGCCTCCTCCTCTTCTGCTTACGCTAGCTACTGCCAAGGCCCGGCAGGTATGTGGAGCAGCTCAGACAGCTCAGAGGTCTAAATGGGGAGTCTGCTTCACCTCAAACATCTGTCCCGTTTTAAAAAGACTAAAATAGTCTCCTCTATCACTGTGCCCTCAATGCCTAACTTGACTCAACAGTGCCCTGTGGACAGGTGAACAGCAAAAGATTGGTGCCTGGGCGTACATACAGATAATTTTACCAGCTTTTAAGCCCGACTGATTTCTGATGATGGTTAGTTTTTATCAATACGTACTGTAGGTTTGTGCCTTTATAATATCCTATTCAGATTCATGAAAATATGTTACAGCCCACCCAAAACGATACTCCCCTTTCACTGGCTGCTGAGTTGTAAAATATTGGAATTGATTGTGTTTGAAAATGCATGCAGTAAATACAAGTAAGTCAAAGGTAAATAGCAATTTTCAGTTTTTGAGAATCTTGTTTTTTTCTATGCTTATCCTGTCAAAATACCCTTTTTTATTACTGTAATTCATGGTGTTCAGTATTTTGTTTAGTGGAGAATTGAGCAAAAAAAAAGGATTGAATGTTACATGACACGAACCTGAATGAATGAGAATTGATTTTTAGTTTTCTGTTGTGCTTTTTAAAGCCTGCAGTGCAGCAGCACCAGTCAATAAAAGGGACTAAGTTTGTGCTGATAAATGTGGCCGATAACTGATGCAAGTGTATCTGTGTAAATATCAAAGCAGGATTCTGACAAACAAAAAACAAAGGTATTGCTCCACCCTGGTTTAAACTTGAAGATATTAAATACACATTTCATGTTTGCTCCTTTAATCCTGAATTTCCTTTTTCCATCCACAATTCATTTTTGTGACGCTTCTAAAGGTTTGGATGCATCTACCCTTTAACTGCCAAATACAATTTTTTTGGAATGAGTACTTTTATTTATATAAAATGGGAGCTTTATTTGTGTTGCTAAAAAGAACATTTTTCTAATTCACATGGGAAGATAGCAGAAGAATGTTTTCCATAAAAATAATAAGGGTACAAGCAATGGAATGCAACACAACCAACAGGCATAAATACATTTATCTGAATTACCTACAATAAAAAAAGAAAGAAAAGACAACAAAAGAAACTCAGCACAGCTGCAGTGTTTGGGGAAGTGACAGCAAGGCAGACTCGTACATCAATGCTTCCAAAAAACTACGACAACCAAATGGGTCTTTCAGATATCTTACAAAGTACAATGTCACAGCCTGTAAAACAAACTAAGACTGGGGAGCTGGAGCTGGCTGCTGCTTTTAAAATATAACCCTGCAGACTATCAGTCGCTTCACAACTTTAGCTTTTTTCTGCGTCCTCGTCCGTCCGGGGTCCCCTCTGCCTTTCGCTTCTGTGCCTGAGAGAAAGAGGAGGAGGTTGGCTTTAGGGAAAAGTGCTCACAAATGGTGGCATCTGCGCAGGTGAGTGCTGTGTTTTGCATTTGGTCGCGCTTGAAGCAACTTACAGAGCCAGACTTTGGTCCCCGCTTCTTCTTCTCAGCCTTTTCTCTCTCCTCCAGCTCCATGTTCTCCCTCTCAATCAGTGTGATCAGAGTGTTACATCGTCTCTGCAGTTCCTGCACAGACCGACACACGAAGATTTGTTTAGAAAACGTTAAGAATCAAACCCTAATCACAACAGAGAAAATGCTGCGATGAAGGGAGAAATCACCATGGCAGTCCGGGATTTGAGGAACCAGTCAAAGCGGAACTGAGGTGAGTTGCGGATGCACTGCCGGAGCTCATCGTAGACGCTCTCTTTGTCGAAGCCCAGCTTGTGGAGCATGCAGATGAGGAAGCGGTCCTCCTCCTCTGTATAGTTCTTGCCTTTGTTAGTGCCGTAAGAGATTCTGAGTTGATGGAAGGGAGCCTTATAGCGGCCGATCTGTGGTCAAAGAGATACAACAGAATGGTTAAAACAACCACTTGCATGTTTAAAACATAAGAGCAGCCCAACTGCTGAAAGTCTCCCACCTTTGAGTCCAAGGCTTTCTTGATGCTGATCCTTCTCTGAATCCGGGCTTCTCCTCTCTCTATCTGGGCCATGATCTTTTCAATGTCCTGCAACTCATTGCAACGCTCCCAGAAAACAGCTGGAGGACCGTACACAAACATCAAGTCACAAAATAGGGCCAAAGCTTTTCCTGTGCAGAAAGAATCGTTACAAAACATACCTGAATATTCTATGACCTCCTCAGGAGTTTTCCCTTCTACTTCTCTGGCGATGTTCTCAATATCGTCTCTTCCCCACTTTTCATTGGCTTTGATAAACTGGTTAAAGTCCCGTTTGTTCCAAATTGTGAATCCCTGCAGAGTATCAACAGTAAGGTAATGTGTGGAAGATCAAGATAAAGATTCTAAATTGCAATTATTATGTGAAACATAAACAGACCAGCTGAGTAAAACTAATCTGTACCTGCTGCAGAAGATTCTCCTTCTCCTCGAGCTCCTCCTCTGTGAGAGCCTCAGCCTCATCGATCTTTGCCTGCTCCTCTTTCTGAACCTGCGCTGAGTTGGGCAGGTCTGGGTTGCGGGGAACCTGAACAGATCCAACCACAGATGAACTTAGAAACATCTCAGGAAATTACCATTTAAACACACACACACATACATAAATTGTATATGTACCTTGTAGCCTATGGTCTTTCTGTAGAAGAGAATTTCCTTTTCTAGAAGTTCAAAAAGACGTGGAGGGAAGAACTGAAAGTCTTGGACATTTGGTTGCTTCGGGGGACGAGGAGCCTTCAAAAACATACAAATCATTGGAAGAATATTGTTACACCTTCTGCTAAATACGCCCTGTTTATGCGCTGGTGCCATCTGTAGGGTGAACGTGGCTTACCTTTGGCGCTTTGGGCTCGCTGACTCTTAGAGCTTCTCTGAAGTAGGCATCCACAGCATAATTGGCTTTGCGCTCTCTTTTTGGTGGCTCGATCCAGTTTGTAATGACCTTGGAGGAAAGATAGATGCAAACAAGGTCAAAAATAGAAAGTTCTCTGATGAAAGCCTTGTGTGAGGATGGTGATGTCCTGCTTACCTTCTTCTTCTCTCTGTAGTCCTCTCCCTCAAATGTGTACACACTGCTGTTCTCTGTGTCCATGGTGAAGTTCCTTAGAGTGCTTTCACCCAGAGAAGAAAGCTTCTCCTTCATCTCCATAGTCTGGAACAAAAAAAAGGAGTGGGGGGAAATCAGCAAAAAAAAAAAGACAGATGCGCTCAAGGGAAGCAGGTGATCCAGAAATTTCCACTTCCAGTCTCACCTTCCTTTCACCACGTTCCAGAATGGCATCAATGTCGTCGTCTGTGATCTCGCTCTCTTTGGAGGCAAACACGTGAGTGGCGCCGTGGCGGATGATGGACAGCATCTCATCTTTGCCCAGCTTGTTTGCACTTGGATCAACCAGTCTTCCTGTTAAAAGAATAAGAAATTAAGTTCAAATAGCAGTAACGTCTGTAACCCCTCAAACGTGTTACCTTAGATCATCATTGTGTTTGTGCACGTCTAAACAAATCACCTTGCTGAATGACAATGGAGTCCAGGCGCAGTTTCATCTCAGCCCTCTCCACAATTCTCTCCTCCACCGTGTTTTCAACAATGAAACGGTAAACCCGCACCTGCTTCTGCTGACCAATCCTGTGAGCTCGGTCCTAAGAAAAAAAGTGGAAAAAAAAAACGAATTATTCACTCAAAATGCAAAATTATTCAAATTGGAGACCTGTTTTAAGAGCAATGGGTGGAGGACACCCACCATAGCCTGCAGGTCAACTTGAGGGTTCCAGTCGGAGTCGTAGAGGATGACCACATCGGCTGTGGCCAGGTTAATACCCAGGCCACCGGCCCTGGTGCTCAACATGAAGATAAACTTGGAGCTGTTGGGTTCATTGTATGCATTGATGGAGATCTGTTAAACATAAAACATATGAATGAATCAAGGGATGTGGTTAATTGCTTATCTCCGGGTTTTCCTCTGCTGAGACGCCAGTCTCTCACCTGTCTCTCTTCGTGTGGCGTCTGCCCATCCAGCCGACAATACTCGTAGTTCTTCCACATGCAGTAGTCCTCCAAGATGTCCAGCATCCTGGTCATCTGACTGAAGATGAGCACACGGGAACCTATGAAAGAGTCACAAAGAAATCAGTTAGCTCAGAGCTTGCCTGGTTTATCGATAGATGGAAAGAATAACAGTGAACGGGCAACAGTGAGCTGAAAGTAAACCCTATTCAGAGTGACGACAACAGTTTGCAACAAAATTTTATGGAAGCGCTTCTCTTTGTTTTGTGTGAATGAATTATTGTAAAATTCGGAACTTTTCAGCAAATGGAGATGGAAAGCTATATACCCTGCTCCTTCATTTTAGGCAGCAGCTTGTCCAGGACTGCCATCTTGCCACTGTTCACCACCAGATGGAGGTCGGTGGTGTACGGCGGGCCTGGCTCAGCCCCGTCAAACAGGTATGGGTGGTTGCAGCATTTCCTCAACTGCATGAGAACGTTCAGCAGACGCATCTTGTCCATTTTGCCTGCTGAGTTCAGGATATCAATGTCCTTCATCAGGATCTTTGTGTACCTGGTGAGGTGGGGAACACATGCATATAAATATATTTCATCTTCATCATATTTCATCAAGTTCTTTCAAAATAAGTGAAAAGATAAGCAGAAGGTATCTGAGGATACGTACCACTCCCGTTGCATCTTGCTCAGGCCTACATATATCTTGATCTCTTTTTTGGGCAGCAGAGTCTTCTCCACATCAGCTTTGATACGACGAAGCAAAAATGGGCGCAGCACCTGAACAACACCATGTTTTCACAAAGCTGTTAATATTGACGAGGTGCCTTCAGATCAAAAGGTTTCCTTTCACACTTAGAGAGGGACACCAGGTACGTACCGTGTGAAGACGTTCAACTAGTTTCTGGTCGCCCAGGCAGTTGTTTGTGTCAAACCAAGAATCAAAATCCTAAGACACAGACCAAAAAGAAGTAACCAGATGAATAAACATGGACCAGTAAAGCATTCAAACTTCAAAATTCAATCAGATCATTATTGAAAACAACATCAAATTGTACCTCTGCTGAATTGAAGACATCTGGCAGAAGGAAGTTAAGCAGAGCCCAAAGCTCATGGAGATTGTTCTGAAGAGGCGTACCCGTCAGAAGCAGTCGATTTGTGGTTTTAAACTCACGCACAATCTCAGAGAGCTAAGGAGAAGCCAAAACAACACAACTTTACAACATCACCATGCAACATCCAATGTTAGGAAAACAAATGTCCATTCTATTTTTGAAGCTGCCTGACCTTTGACTTTTCGTTCTTGATCCTGTGAGCCTCGTCAATGACCAGGTATCTCCAGTTGAACTTCTTGAAAACGGCCTTCTCAATGATGAGCATTTCGTAGGAGGTGACGCAGACGTCCCACTCTCCAGGCAGCAGCACGTCTCGGATCAGAGCAGTCTGCAGTTGCAGCAAAGACATTTAATTTGCTTTTAGTAAACCAGTGATTAATTCCTTTGGCGTCATTCGTGCAACGGTTTCCAAAGATGAAAAATAAATTCAGTCAAGTAGATATTTCATAAGTAGATCTTTAAGCATCACAAAGAGTTTGATTTGAGAGGCCTACCCGCTCTTCTCTGTCCCCAATGAGGCAAACGGCACGGAGAGAGGGCACCCATCGTTTGAACTCATTCATCCAATTGTAAAGAGTGGACTTTGGTACTAGCACCATGTGGGGACCGGGGATATTTCTGTAGTGCTTCATGTAACCCAGCAGAGCAATGGTTTGGAGAGTCTTTCCCAGGCCCTAAAACCAAGTTTACAGAGGATGTTTATGGTCGCACAGAGAAGTGAAGACCTATAACTATGAGAAGCTTTCAAATGGAAATTGAAAAGACAAGACAGTGATAAAGCACTTACCATCTCATCTGCAAGGATGCCGTTGATTCCATTCTCATACAAGGAAATAAGCCAGTTCAGACCACGGACCTGGTAGTCCCTCATTTTTCCTGTTTTCACATCTGGATAAGGTAAAAGAAAACATAGCTTTAACAGCTGCTTACTGTGAACATTCATTACATACCTGAGCTTAAAAGGCACATAGGTATAAAAACCGGGAGCCACTTACAGGATGGAGAATCATCAAAGCGAGTGCACACGTTAGTGGTCTTTGTACTCTCGTTGAGGAGTTCTTCATCCTCCTCTTGCTCGGTGCGACGATGCCGGTTGCTGTCAAACAGAAACGGTAACAACAATTTAACATCCAAATGTGACAGCAAAATTAAGCATTGTTACAGAGACGAGCACTCACTCTCCAGCAGACAGCAGGTTCTGTTTTTCATCTTTTTTGATGCGAGGACGTCCTGGTTTCATCTTCAGAGGGGAAGTTGGGGTCTTCTGAGCAGCCGGTTGGATGAAATGAGCAAACAACTCTGTTTGCTTCAACAGATATTCAAATCTATTGGTCCGGTCTGTTTGCTGCGTTGTGCAGGGGGAGAGGCTTGTTATTTTACTCATTCTGTCAACAGCAGAGTCAAATTCTTCAAATAGGCTGCTGAAAATAAACCTACCACTTTCTCTTCATAACCTGGAACAGAATCCTTAGCTTGGGATGATAAAGAGGAGGATGCATCTTGTCCATCAGCACCTGCATCCGAGGAGGACTCTTTCCCTGCATCTGAAGAGTCCGATTTCTCCTGAAAAAATACATTTGTACTCAATATTTACACTTAGATCATTCCACCTATTGCAATAACAGCATTACTTATGGGGAACTTAACAGTGACTAAAATCAATTATTTCCTGTTCAACTGATGCCACAATGATCATTAATATAATTATTATTGTTATTACAAATATGGTTGTCATACCTTTGCTCTAAATCTGGCAAATTTCCTACATTTTCTATGAAATGTGGGATCTTTTGAGCTAAAATACTGGGATATCTTTTTCTCAGGGACTCTAAAAAAAAGTTTTGGTGCCATTTACCTAGACACTTAATAAGAAATGTATGAGAAACGGCATTTAAAAAATAACGTTTTTGTTAATGATAAATTCATTTCGATTACACCATGCATGGAAACTAGTCAAAGCTCGACATGTTAACGGACTCGGGCAGCAACGCTCCACGGTCACAACAGACAGAACTACTCCTCTGGAAACAAAGACCCAGATGGGACAGTTGGGAGGAATGCTACTATTCTCTCGTGTACTCAAGTTTCCAAACATCCGACCACAATTGCATATAGTAAGCTGGGAGCATCTGATGTGAAGGTTAAACTAAAAACGAGGGGAAACTCTTCTTTTAATGATCGGCGTTTGGTTGTTAGCGCTAAGCTAACAGTGGTAACGGTATGAAATCTTGCGGCGGCTCTGTGCTGTTAGCTTCAGTGCTTGGAAGTCACTGAGCTGCTGCTTTCGTTAGCTACTGTTAGCATCTTAGCAGCTAGTTAGCCATTACAGCTAAAAAGCCCAAACAGCCCACATGAACACTGATTCGTTTGTACGTAACCAACGGATAAAGGAATAATTTGGTTAAGCATATGGGGTCTTAACGGTTTCCACGACGTGTCAATGAAACATTTACTCTGTGCTGAGAACAGACAATGGCAATTTTAAACAATCTAACCTCTACTCCCCCGGCTTCTTCAAGTTCAGGCTGCTCTTCCCGCTGTTCCACGCAGGTTTCACTTTCAGACATTTTGGTCTAATTCCCGTTGTTATCCGATTTTTTCTTCCGTTATCAAAAGCTCCTGTAGATCCCGTATGAAAGTCGTAAAGGGGTTTCTGAACTTCCGTGCGGTGAATAAGAACTATCCCGTTGTTGACAATGAAAGACGCACCAGTGAGACAGGCAGCACCGTTCGCGGTAGCACAATTTTTCTCGCGCACCCGCGCCGAAACACTACCCGGCGTTAGCTGGGTATCGCGAGATGTGTGAGTGCTGCCTTCGAAGACTTTTGATAGTATTAGGCATTCATAGCATCTGAGACCACCATTCCAAATTTGCCCAGGTAGGATAAAAGTTTTAGATTTAAAAAAAGCCTTATAGAGTAAATGTTTATAGTTTATAATCTAAATAGTAAGTTTATAGTGAACTATTCACAAAGTATATTGTAAATTTTAGCTTTAAAAATCTTTAAGGCTGAAAATGTTAGTTAAAAGTATACTTTTTAAATTATCATTGAAAAATACATTAAATAAGATACGATCATTCTTCGTTCATAACTTATATTTCAGGACTAAAACTATCTCAATCTTGAACAAATGTGCTCTCTAAATATTTATTAACACATAGTCACGGAATTATATATAAGTAGAGACTATGTCTTTGCTCCTCTTGTTCCTTGTTTAAATGAATTCAAGTAAAGTAGTGCAACGCAGTAATTCTAACAGCCAATTAGTTGGACAGAAACTCAATGTAATGACAGAAGTGACACGAACGAGGATCACATGAATGCAACGTACAAACTACACTGATATTATTCAAAATACCTCTGTTGTGTGAAAATATTTTCGTCGATATGAACTATTTAGCGATAAACACTGTACTTCATGAAGAGTCCCTTGTATAAAAATAACACAACAAACCTAATAGAATAAGTTACCAGGACTGTAGGACAGGCAAAAGTATGACAGCTTCGCACAAGGGTCCTACGGCGTAGCCGTCCGTTGGAATGACGTAGTGGAAGGTAAATCAGCTGATTCTGAGCGACGAAGTCAACCAAAATAATACGAATTTATCTGTCAGAGGACGTTTAACTCCGACTGACAGCAGACAATATTTTGATTGGACTTTGTTGACATGCTTTATTTAGGTAAGTTTTTTTTATTTAGATGTGGTAAAGCCCCATAGAATACGCTGTTTCATGGTGGTATTTATGCTAAGTCAGTGGTACCTGACGTTATTCGGCTGACGTTAGGCCTGTTTGGCCGCTTTGTTCTTTTGTTGTTGTTATCGTTGACGCAAGCTAGTTTAGTTTTAGAGCTACACACCCAATTGAATAGTTCTTTTTCTTTGTAGATTGAAGTTTTTATTGTTCCTGCTTTACATGTATAGTTTTTTACTTTAATTTAACAATGCGACTAGCATTAGCAAGCTAGCAGTCAGGTTACACACAGCACTAGCAGCGGTTGGTTGATTTTTCTTATTGATTTGGCTTGATCTCTAAAAAGCAAACTGAGTCTGCACTTGTATTTGATATATTAAATGTAAACCATTTTGTTAAGATGCATGGATCAGTGCTTAATTCATAACTGAACTGAATGAATGAGAAATGATGGTCACCAAGAACACCCATTCTTGGTGTAAATTTAAATGAAACGTTTATTCTATCTTTTATGCACGATACCGTCTACGTAAATAAGCAAACATGATGACAGAGTGATTGTGTTGTACTTTGAAAACGTACGTTCATATGGACGGTGAAAATAAATGTTAATTTTAGTAGAATAATTTAAATGTCACTCAAGTTATTTTTTTCTTAATATAAGATTAAAGTTAACAAACCTCTTTGATATACAGGTTTACTATCTTAGTTATATAATCCAAAGTTCGACCAAATTGAACAATAAAAACTATAATTTATTTCCTGTTTTGAATTAGTTTTTGAATAACAAACTCTGACATGAAAATGTAATTCTACTTGTAGCAAATGAAAGACGAGAGCACCTGATCTATCCTTGAATGCTGGCAATATACTCTCAATAAATAGTACACAGGACTTGATTGCAGGATTCAAATCCCTTTTGTGTGTTAAGGCTTTTATGTTAAAAACAAAAATAGCTATTTCTTTTTTCTCTTTAAAATCACAGGCTTTTGAGACAGTGAGCTAACATGTATAGAAACAGTACAGAAAGAAAAAAAGTTATTTATTAAATGGTTTGAGTCTGTCTGTATGAATTGGGATGTTTGTAGTTCTTCTGTGACTTTTAAGTAACTGTTTTCTCAACTGCTCTCTACAGCTCGACAATATGGACAAAATATTGGAGGGTCTCATCAGCTCGGATCATTCTGTTCCGGTGAAGAGGGCTATAGTAAAGAAGGTTGTGGAAGCAGCAGAGAAGGAGGTGACAGAGGAGCAGTGTCAGGCATTATTTACGCTCACCACCCGCCTCACCTTGCTTGGTGAAGATGCTTTCCAGAAGCAGATTGGCTTTCAGGTTCTTGAAGCCTATGCACGCTACCACCGGCCAGAATTTGAGCACTTTTTCAATAAAGACTTTGTCCTCAGTCTGCTCCAGCAGGGCTATGGCCAACTGTACAACAGAGACCCAGCCATAATAGACTATATTCACTGCTGCCTACGGCTACTCATTAGCTGCCCCTCTGTGCTGGAGACCTTCAGTGTGATCCAGGTGGAGGTTTTGAGGATGGTATGTGAACGTCCTGAGCCTGCCCTCTGTGCCCGTCTGAGCACTTTGCTGTCAGACTACATGCAGTGCATTCCACGAGACAAGTCTGGCATTTTGTTCTGCCAGCAGCTGGTCAGGACCATAAGTTATTTCCACTGCTTTGCCAGCCAAGAACGAGAACTCAGAGAGTATGTAGGGCAGGTGACTAAAGTTAGCACATTGCTGCAAAACATCTGGAAAGCTGACCCAGCCATGCTGTTGCCATCCCTGCAGGAGGTCTTTGCCATCATCTCTTCAACAGGTAAAACAACAGTATTCATATGATGGTGTAAATATTATCATACTTTCATTTTAGATAATTTAATTTCGTATTTGTGAAGTTTAGGAAGATATAATAAGGCCCTAAACACGTGTCAGACATGAACACATTTTTATACCCCTTTTTCTATTTAATATATCTACAAACATGAAAATGTTTTTTTTCCATGTTACTGTTCCAATGCTTCTGCAAATCCCAGTTGATCATTAAAAGTAAATACAAGCAACTGGCAGATCACAGTTTAAAGTATTAGTCACTGTTAAAGAATGTATTAGTGAGTGCTGCGTAATGTTAAAAGATCAGGTTGACTCATTTTTTATGTTTGCCTATTTATGAAGATGCCACCAAAACTCTAGTCAAATAATCTAGAGATCTGCATTTCTTCTGGCATAAAGGAGAGCATAAAAATGTATGAAACACAATTGCGCACTATAGGACACATTGACAATTTATGATGTCCATTTCACAACTTCCAGTATTAGTATACATGTAACAAAGTCAATCAAAGTCAAAGAAGAAAATTAATTTCTGAATGTTGTTGGGTTTTTTTGTTGTTTTTTTTGGGCAGACCCTTCCTACGACCCATCAATTGCGCTCGCCAGTCTGGTCCAACACATCCCTGTCCAGATGATTACGGTGCTCATCAAGAGTCTCACCACAGACCAGAATGTCAAAGATGCAAGCATGACTAAAGCCCTCTGCAGGTTACCTTCTACACTGACTTGTTTCAGTTCAAAGTCTGTGCAAGAGCTCCTAAATTCTGAATACATAAGGACTGAAGTATTTATATGCTCTCAAATTTGTCACATATATTATATTCCTAAATGTATCATAAATATGACATTTTTATCAGTATAGTTATGGATAGTTATGTATTCTAATACATAATTATATATATATATATATATGTGTGAACTTTGACTTTTCTGTCCATCCAGGATGATTGACTGGCTGTCGTGGCCTTTGGCGCAGCATGTTGACACGTGGGTCATCGCTCTGTTGAAAGGATTGGCTGCAGTTCAGAAGTTCACCATCCTCATTGATGTCACTCTGCTCAAAATTGAACTGGTTTGTAATGTCAATCCTTGATTTTTGGTTCATTATTGACCTTGCGAGTGGTGATAGCATTACACAAAACTTTCTATGCTATACAGTTCTTACTCTGCTACAATGACTAGTTATGCTGTCACTTTTTCTTGGGTTTGTGAAGAAAAGAAAATGACTTGAATTTTTTTTTTGTAAAAATGTAATCATAACTCTTTCTTTAAACTCACCTTTAGGTATTCAGTCGCCTGTGGTACCCCATTGTGCGACAGGGGGCGCTGTCTGTGCTTTCTCACATGCTGCTAAGCTTCCAGCACTCTCCTGAGGCCTTCCATTTGGTAAGGGATCTCTTTCCTCCTTCCACCCCATTTCCCTCCCAAATTGCCACTTGATGGTTTTTCTCATTTTCAAAATTTTTGGCTTAAATTTCTCCAAATCCAAACAGACTTCTTTTCCCAGAAGACCAAGGTCAGCATTATTCTCGCTAATAATGTGTGAAGAACTTAAAAGCCATGCAGTGGCCCTTGAGTCGGCCAATATCATTCAAATCTAAAAAACAAGAGTAATCTTAGAAATACTTTACTAGTAAATGAGACTGAAGTCTCTGTGGGGTTCCTAATGTGTATCAACCTCCTGGCTGACCATGTTGCACATTTGGATGATTAATATTAGCTTAACCACTGTTTTTGCCTCTGTATTGAAGTCACTATTTCCTCTTCTTTATTCTCACCTCTCTCAGGTTGTTCCACACATAGTGCATCTAGTTCAGTCTCTAAGGACAGATGGTCTCCCAACCAGCAAAGCGTTCTTGCTGCAGTTCACTGAACTCATACATTGCATGATGTACCAGTACTCTGGCTTCCCAGACCTCTATGACTATATATTAGAAGCCATCAAGGTAAGACATAGATGTATATTGATATTATACCAGGTCTTTATTTAATCCATTTTTAATCATTAGAAATTAGCAATCGACTGCTTTAGCTTTTGTTTAGATAATTGTTTCATGAATTACTCCACACCCCTTTTTTTTAGGATTTGCCAAAACCTGCAGAAGAGAAGATAAAGTTGGTGTTGAATCAGAGTGCCTGGACATCTCAGTCTAACTCATTTGCCTCTGGGCTGTTGAAGCAAGCTGTGAAGTCTGAAACAGGCAAGACAGGCCTGATCAACTTAGGGAACACCTGCTTCATGAACAGCATCATCCAGACCCTGTTTATGGCCACAGAGTGAGTCGTATCTGAACACACAGATGTACAAAATCAGTGTTTGTGACCACGCGATCTTGTTTGATTTGCAAAACTTGGAATTGAATGGCAATTTTATTTCTCAGCTTCAGGAGGCACGTTTTGTCGTTACATCTGAATGGCTCCAACACACTAATGAAAAAGCTTCAGCTCCTCTTTGCGTTCCTTGCACACACACAGGTCAGTGTTGTCCTGAGTAATGGAAGATTGACTGTTGTTGCTGCAGAATAATAACAATGGATGACAGTACATTTCTTTTTGTCCTATAGAGGGCAGCATATGCTCCCAAAAACTTCTTGGAAGCATCTCGGCCTCCATGGTTTAACGCAGGTTCCCAACAGGACTGCTCTGAGTACCTGAGATTTCTTTTGGACAGGTACTGTCTCTCCCAAATGTGTTAACTCTTGTGAAATTTTTATTACCTCCCATTTGAGTAAATTTCTCTTTCTATATTTAGCCTCTTTGACAAATAATGTAATTATCAAACCCTCTTAAAATATATTAGGTCTATTATCTCAGGTCTATGGGTTTGAAAAATGTAAAGAATTATGTTATGACAGATCTTATACATGAAAAAAAACAATGGATTTTGTTCCTAATTCCAAGTATCTCCTGATCTCAAGGTTGCATGAAGAGGAGAAAACACTTCAGGTCCTTGAATCGGCTAAGCCAAAAGATGCCTCCCCGGTTGACGTGAATAGCAAAGATCCAACAATATCAACTGTCGAGGAAAACAAGGAGTCATATTTGACTCATACAGAGAGTAAAGCAGTAAACGATGGAAGGACTTTAATAGAAAAGATGTTTGGTGGAAAGCTGATCACAGGCATCCGCTGTATGCAATGTAACTGCATTTCTGAGAAAGAAGAGCCTTTTACAGACCTCTCTTTGGCCTTTTGTCCATCTGCCTCCTCTCATAATAGCCCTAAAGTACAGGGGCCGGCAGAGGAACCCAAAGTTCTTTGTCAGGGGTCTGTCAATGGTGGCAGTGAAGCCCCTGAGTCAGGCCCAGCCAGCAGTCTAGCTAGTAATGTCCATCATGAGCTGAGGACAAATGAGACTCCACTCTCTGTGCCTGATCTTGTGAACTATTTCTTGGCTCCAGAGATTCTTGATGAAGACAATGCTTATTTCTGTGAGAAGTGTAGCTCCCTCCAGCGGGCGGAGAGGACCATGAAAGTGGTGTCGGCCCCTGAGTACTTGATCCTGACCCTGCTGCGCTTCTCGTACGATGCCAAATGCCATATCCGCCGAAAGATTCTCGACAACGTCACCATCCCAGCCGTATTGAGGCTTCCTGCTCATGCTCCTTCAACGCCTTCACACTGGTCCTCTGCTACCTCTTCCCCTCTGCAAGTTGATTCTCCCGAGAGCAGCGAAAACCTGGCCAAAAAGCTCAAACCATCCCAAAAAGATGAAGAAGATGAGAAGGAAGTGAGGATAGATGAAGCAGAGGAGACGAATAGAGAAGGAGAGATGCCTGTTCAGTCGGTGCCCTATGTGCTCAGCTCATTGGTGATGCACTCTGGTTTATCGTCGGAGAGTGGCCACTATTACACTTATGGTCGCAACATCAGCGGAGCAGATGGAACACAGCATCCAGCCAATCACTCTCCCATCAAAGACGATCTGGGGACTGGCCAGGCTGATTGTGGCCTCTGCACCTGCTCCGCTCTCCCAGCTCAACCCAATCAAGGTGACACACCACCTAATAGTGTTCAGGAGGCAAAGGACTGGCTGCTGTTTAATGATAGCAGAGTGACATTCGCTTCTTTCCAGTCAGTTCAAAACATTACTAACCGCTTCCCCAAGGACACGGCTTATGTGCTCATGTACAGGAAGCAGGAGGTACCGGGGCAAAACTTGAATGGAGGACTCGTAAATGGAATGAGACTGACCGCTGAACCTCCCCTGCAAAAGGAACTGCTGGATGCTATTATTAAGGACAACAAGCTGTACTTGCAGGTATTTTTTCCAAAAATTATGCTCCTCTGACACACTGACTGTACTTTACATTTCTCAGTGAACTACTTTTCATGATATTTAACCAATAAAAAAATGTTTCGGTTATTAAAATAATTCAGAAAGAATTTTGTCTAAATACCCACAGACTTTTCCTGAATTATTCTCTGAGTAGTGCTGTATTGAACTGAAACTCGACCGGTTTAAGTAACTGTAGAAAGTTTCCTGTGGAGGGAGCTGTAATGACATAAAACAAGTCCACTATGTTTGGCACAGTTGAGCTTCTATGTAGGTTTGAATACAGTAGACACTCAATTTAACTTAGAAATATGTATCTTTTATCCCATGTAATCAACAGGAACAGGAGCTAAACGCTCGAACACAGGCTCTTCAGGCCTCCTCTTCCTCATGCTCTTTCAGGCCCAACGGTTCAGATGACAATAACCCACCAGGGAGCTGTGGCCCATCTGGTGGAGGCGGAGGGGGAGGAGGATTCAATACCATTAGTAGACTCGTCTTCTGAAAAAAAAAAGGAAATGCTACAGGAAACACAGATGAACTGGTTTGGACTTATCCTGTATGAGGCTGGATTAATGCTTTGAGAAGCGTGTAACTTTGAAAAAAGAGGAGCACTGATCTAACCTAAGAACACACACATCCTCACATGCTGATTCAGTGCTTGATTTGATCTGTGATATGAATTTCCTATATCTTACGAGTTTAAAAAGTTTAAACCGGGAAGTTAGCTTCCACTCTCTTTTTTTCTTGTCAGCTAATCAATCGATTTTGCGTTTTTCTTGTGTGTGTCCGTGTTTGGTTTCCCTTTTGTGATTTCACCAGTTGAATAACTTACTGGATCCTGCTCATTGGTGCAAAGATATCATCTTACTTCAACAGAAGATATCTCGGAAAATATGATTTAACTTCAAGTAGTCAAGTAGAAGATGTTTACATGAACGAATATGTCAAATTATCTTTGTCATGAACATGTCCATATCTTTGGCTCATCTGTGTTAATATTTTCCTCAAACACAGCACACAAAGCAATGCATCCATAGTTCCACCTCAAAGGTATATTTAGCTCTATCTCTCTTTTTTCTTTGACAAATGATTACTTTTGAACATACAGTTCATAAACCTTCGGATTTGCATGCAGCTTGGCTTCATAAGCTGTGGAAAGATTTTTCTGGATATTTGAATCTCTTTATTGAGTGCACTTTGTTGTTTTATGCGATAAATCTTTACATGACAGCAAATGGAATTTCTGAATAATAACAAAATGCATAGAAATGCCATACGGGGATATCAAAAGTGTGTATGGCAGATTTTTAATAAAGTTATTTTCATTATGTAAGACAGTGTCAGTGCTGTGCTCACATTTTTAACTTTGGCGTGATCCACAGGGAACGGTATTGCAACCCACTTATTTAAACAGCAGGTTATGGACAGTGTCTTTATGTTTTTCTCTGGCTTGATGGTTCAAAGAGACTTCTGCGTTTATGCTGATTTTATGTGCCTTTTTGATATTTAAAGCAGTTTTTTTCTTTTTAAATAGGATTTTGTCTCACCGTAGATCTTGGCTGCAGTGCATTTTCATAATGCTGTCATCAGTCCCAACATGAAATAACATCAGATTTTATTGTATTGCTGGACTTATTTACACTACTATTCTGGCGAAGAAGCAAACTGATATTTGGGATTAGACTATAAGTGTATTTCAAACATGACAAGGTAAACTTCAGATAATAAAATACAGCAGCAGATGAGCCAAACATTCAACAGTGTGTTAAGTCTGTGTGTTCTTCAGTGTTTGTCAGACCATCTACGCTTATTGTTTTAAAACAATATCTTGCCCACTTTCTAACCTTGTCCTCTATTTAAGGCAATTTTTTTATTTCATTAAATTATTTTTTTCTCTACATCAAGTATCTAATTTTCCAGCTGAAATATCGCCTTGGCTGATGCACCACTGGCAGCTCTTCCTGTCCAGGCTCTGGCGGCTACACTAGAAAGACTTTAGTTTTTAATGACGCTACTCTTATGTTTTCTTGGCAGAGTAACTGGTAACTTGACCACTCTGAAGAGGATTTTTCTCAGGACTGCTGCTATTTTCTTGTTCAGCCCCCTTTCTCAGCCCAACATAGCGACACAAGCTCCTCACAGCATGCCGCTGCCTTTACCACGTTTAAATGTACACATTTTTTAATGAAATGACACTCAGTGTCTGGTTTCCATCACACGCGCTACAGGGGATTGTGGCTAAATAGTTCAGTCTTTTATCAGATCAGAGGATTTTGCCTCTCATAGCCAGAGTCATTAAAGTACCTTTTGGCAAATTCCCCGCAGGCTATCATGTGCATTTTCGAGAGGAATGGTTTCTGTCTGACCACTCCATAATAAAGGTATGCCAGCTAGAGTGCTGCACTAATGGTTTTTGCCATCAGGATGGCAATCCAGGTTCTCCCATTTCCATATAAACTCTGTATCTCATCTAGCGTGACTTTTGGCTTGTTATCTAACCAAGGCCCTTTGTCTCTGAGTACTGATTTTGGCAGAACAGCAGAATTCGGAATGTTTGTTCTTGGCTCCAGACTTCTTCCAATTTATAATGATAGAGGCTATTTAGACTGAATTTACATGCTGCATAGATGTTCTTCTTTTCTTTCTTTTGTCCTACATTTCTTAGAAAAGTCCCATCAACCTCTGAGATCCTGAGACCTCACATAGATAAATGTGTGCTCTCTTAATCAAAGGCCATTGATAAACACAAGTTTTGCGAAATTATATAAATATTTCAGTCTGTTTTTGATAAAGTAGAAAAATCTGTTCCTATGTGGTCATTGTTGAGAGTTGTGTGTAGTTAGAATAAAAAGGACGTTTTTTTATTATCTTAATTTTATTTAGAACTGGTTTAAAGGTTAACATATTCTTAATTTTGCTTTTAAAAGGGCATCTGCTGTATATACATTCTCTCTTTTTTGCAGTTTTATAAGATGGATTGGAAGTGACTAATTTGCTTTTATTTTGACTCAGAGTAAAAATGTTACATTAGTTTCTAAGGCTAAAGGCATAAGAAATCAAAACATGACTGTTTTAGTGCACAAGTGATTTAGCTAAATGGAAAAAAAAAACTCCTCAAAGCAACCCAATGCTTCCACTTTTTTTGTTGTTTTTTTTGCTGTGATTGCAAAATAGTTTTTCACAAAATGGAAGTGAAACAAACCAGTGACTGAAAAAGGGAACTACAAAATCCCTTGTAAAGTTCTCACAGGCTGTGTGTATATAAGGATGAAAAGTGGACGCATTTTGCCCCTCTGCAGTTGATCTTTTCATGCATCTAAATTGATGCTGTGGTTAGTCAATTTCCCTCTCTTTACATCAGTTTGCATTCATGTGACTATTTTTGACAGTTTTAAGAATATTCACTTCAGGATTAAATTTTGTTCTTGTTGTTTTTAACAATGGTGTTAGTGGCGTTGACTTGGTTTTAATCTATTTTTCCTTTGTTCCACCAGACCGCTGTGGTTGGTCCACATCCTTTTGTGTTCAATATCCTCTTGCCAGCTGTTTTGATCAAGCATTCATGATTACTTGTTGGAATGACTTTACAGCAAGAGATGCTAACTATGACTTCAAAGGGTCTGAAACTGGGGGCTCCACACATGGGCCTTTGACACAGAGGATAATTGTTTTAGCCTTCCAAGCCAAAGCAGTAGGACAGATGCTGATCATAAATTGTAATTGAGGTGTAATTCACAAGTTATTTATTTTAAATTTAAGTAGCAGGAATACTGAAATTGGATATTTAAAAGGAACTCTGTAAAATAAATGATAATAATTCAAACAACACTTTTTCTAGCACTAACACTTGTTTTTTTTATTTTTTATGAATACATTAATTGCTTAAATTAATTGAGGACAATCGTATTTGAAATATTTATTGTTTTCAGAAAGTGATATACAAAAATGTATTTCAGAAAAGTCCTCATTTAAAGAGATGCATGCTCTTTTTACACACAAAACGTGGATGAATAATAAAGAGATGCAGCGTTACAAAAAAATCTTAAAGAGCTGATGTGTCTTCACAATAGCAAAGTCATTAATCACACAATAACAGGGAGGATCCTGGGGGAGGGGGGGGGGGTTGCTATAACAATGGAATTCCAAAAACATTCTTTAAATAGCATTCTGAGTAAATGACAAACTGGCCTTTGTCAGTGAATGAAATAAGTTTTAGATAAACTCAGGGAATCGATTAAATTAAGTCTAAAAGATTTTGTTCCAATGTCCAAAGCCAGGGATAATTAAACCGCTAATGGTCAGCATAAACTTCTGAGTATATGGAAAATAAATGTGGTTAAAATCTGTGTCTAAAATATGTGAGAATGTTAATCTTTATTACAAATCAAATTTAAATTTTGCAACATGGTAATTGTTGTTTATTAATGTGTAATTTACCAGATTGTCCTTAAAACAACATTTAACTGTAATGTGATTTCAAAAGAGATAGCAGATAAAGAACAAACATTACAAAAGAAGTGTCTATAAACCACCCAGTGGGTACAATGTCCTACGATATGTATTTCGGCGCGCATTGTGGATAGTGTAGTTTAAAATGTGAGGGGATTTGTGGGCTCCTTAGGGGTTATAATGTTGAGGGCAGGTCCTTCCTTTGTCTCTTCTTCAGCCGTCTGAATACGCTTTGTGTACTCACAAAGAGGCGCCCATACTTCTTCTGCTTTATGCTTCATTTATCAAATCGTCCCATACTCTATTGTTATTGTTGGGGAGGACGGGCAACTGAGAATCCATGAACTACATGTCCCATGGTTGAAGCTCAACAATTTTCCCAGCACTCCGCCGCCTACCTACTCCGTCCTCTAAACTATTTTCTTTACCAGCAATAAACACAACACTACTTCCGGTAAAGACTTTACACAAAAAAAACCCAAATAGGTGTGATGTGCGCAATGGAATGGCATGTGCTTCTTGAAAGATAATGTGTTACTTTCAGTGAAGATTGTGTGATTCTTATATGAAATATCACTTTTCAATCGTTTCAAATAATCATAACGGTAGAAAGTATGGTAAATCAGCTTGTAAAGAGAAAGAAAATAGAAAAATTTAAGAAAAACTTAATGTGAAGTGAAAGTTGTCACTTTTAGTGGCGCGTTGATGGCTTTATTTTGAAAGCAACGTTTGAGTGTTTCCGGTATTTCTGCCCACGTAGCCGTAAGCTTAACACCGCCATGTTCCAAAGAAGGGTGAGTTTAGGGAAAGGCTTAGCCACCCTGTCAATCACAATTAAGGAACCATGGGAGTACACTGCTCGGGAAGCTCGGCGAAACCACTGTGTTTACGCCAAAGATTGTTCTAATTTGCGCATAGACGGCCATTATGCACCGGTACACTGTGGGACATTTGCACCCGACCTCGCAAATAAGGATTTGCTCCACTTTGATTGGAATGAGCGTGGGACGTTACATTTAAAAACAAACAAAAAAAAACTTAGCGAATCTTAGTTGCACAGTCTCAACCCCCTCAGCGCTGTAGTCTGAACAAAAACACGTAAGTTACAGCTTATACTCGCTGAGAGGGTGACCCTCTGGAGGTTTCTATTAACACCAAGCGCTGGATTTATTGGTTGGTTTGTCTACAACTGGTGGAAATCTGTTGTGCTCGTTTTGTGAGCGCCGCCGTGTCGGTGAGTCGGCTTTTCGATGGAGTGACCGTGCTCCGTGGCTCTAAAAAAAAAACACCTCAATACTACATTTGAACTTTTCCCGTTCCCCGTCCCACCGTCACTGTCTTGCGCCAACTGCTCTTTCATTCTTTCTTTTTTCTTTTCTTTCTCATTTTGAAGGCAAACGAAGATACTCCCCACAACAGCCCGACGCCGTTCGGACCCCGGGGACAGCGAGCAGAGATGAGCGGGGGAGAGGTGGTGTGCGAGGGGTGGCTGAGAAAGTCTCCTCCTGAAAAAAAGTTGAGACGTTACGTAAGTGCACTTTGTGTCCTGTTTGTGACGCTGTCACCATTTAACCTGTTGGCCCTCACGCGCCAGCTTTTCCCCCGAGATTTAAGGAAGAAAAAAAAAAGTGGCAGACGCGCGCGCGCGGGCCTTACCTAGTCAGCATTTCTGCAGTCGGTCTTACTGCTTTTTTTTTTTTTTTTTTTTTTTTTTTTTTTTTTTTCTGGCAAACCTGAAGGTGTGCGTGACCTCTCTTGAGTTCAGTTTGCCTTTGACAAGAACAAGGCAGCCATGAGTTCCACAGCATGGGGGCTCTTATTTGCTTTGGGACAGTTGTCACACAAGAATCCAATTATTTTGCAATATATATATTTTTTTCCAAATTCAGTATTTTGCACCAGATAAAGGGCAGAGCGACATCAGGAAAGCACATGGATGACATGCTTATATCAATTTTGAAATAAGTTTTGATTCTTGATTGTTTGGGGAGTGGGCATGGATAGAAATTTTCATTTGCATATTAGGTGCTCTCCATTCAAAATACAAACAAAAAAGCAGGAGTTCTGTTATCAGACGCCGGTGATCAACCTGTACTACTTTGGTCACAGTTACTTAGTTATTGAAGTTTGGGTCACTCTGGTCGGTGTTGATTTGTAGAGCGTTGTTGCCTCTGTCTCCTTTTGCTCAAAGAAATGTCACATCTTAAAAGTTTCTAAGGTATGGCCCAGTGGGAATCTATGATTCTCTGTTGTAGAACAGTCTGAGGAAATCAACCTTTGAAGCTCTTCTTGTATCAAACATAAAATGGGTCTAGTGTGAGCCATTTAGGTTCTCATCCTGCATTCCTTGTTCTCTAATAAGATCTGATATTTTGGGCAGAAGTAGATTTTCACTGCCTATGTATTCAGTTTTAAAGCGTTTCCTCTGAGAATCTGATTGTTTTGGATTGAATTAGATAGTTTTCAAAGCTGATTATCAATTTTAGCCATTGTTCATCCCTGCAACTTTTTTTTTAGTTTCTAAGGTTACAAAGACGCTGTATACAGAGTTTATTTTAATCAATACAAACCTTCTACTGGCGGTGCTGCCCTCACCTCTTAGGCTGGCACAACTTCCCTCTGCATCCTCTCAGATGGGGAGGATCACGGCCCCTCCCCTCACTCACAACACTGAGCTGTCACCAGAATAAAACTGACCCAGCATTGTTTTTTTATTTTAATTTTACCACTGTTGTTTTCAAAGCCGTTTTCACAAACAAGATGCCTGTTATTAAAGGCTCTATCAGCCTCTATCATCCATATCAGAGGTTTGGCTCAAATCATGTCATTTTCTTCCCATAACGTGTGAATTTGCTAACAAAACCCTCAGTGAAATTTTAAACAGAACACCAAAAGATACGCATAGCAAAAATGTGATCTGGTTAAAAAAAGAAAAAGAGGTTTTGGCTACATTTTAAACAATTGGAAACGCTGTTAAAAATGGACCTTAGTTAAAAGAATGTGAATTGGTTCAACGCTGGTATTTATTTATTCGATGAAGCAATGTGTCGGATTCCTCTTCTGGCCATGTGCATAATCAGTCCATCATGGCTGGACGTGTAGCTCCATTAATGTGACAGCAGCAATTCAGGCTGGTGCCGCCTTGAAAGGGAGACGTATGGGTTATAAGGTCCAACCTGTCCAAATGCTCCAGAAATGCACCAGAGGCTAATGCTCACATGATGCCAAAAGGTTCCGTTCCAACCAGATTATACAGAAATGCATGCACCTCTGAGTGGGCTTTAGTTTCATTGTGCCATAAAAGGATTTGAGTTATTAGAGTATAAAAGTCTCTCTGAGCTTGTTGCACAATGTCAGCAGAGTTGACTGTGAGCCTCAAAGCTGGGATGTGATGCATGACAATGTCAAGGTTTGCTCAAATAATTATCAGCAGTTTCTTTTTGTATCGTTTTAAAATGGCATTATTTCAAAATACGTGTGAGAGCAAGTGGATTTTTGTGTAGTCATCACTTTTCGGCCCAAAATGTTTCGGTTGAAGATGAAATGAAGTTGTCTCACAACTTCTGTTGGACTTTTTCCAGACAGTTTATTATTTCTTAAAGGGGTTTTCCATTTTAGGGACTCAGCATTTTTTCCATCTGGTTCTCTTTTTCCCATCTTTCTTTTAAAATGATTATTTTTTTCTTACCTTCCAATCTATGCACGTCTGTGAAGGTTCAGTGCCAAAGACACTCTTCAAAGAACAAAGCGGTGTCTTTAGGACGTTTGCAGTGTGGGATCTTAGGAGCCCATGGGTGTGGA